AGTCTCGAACACAATTTAAAAATCTTAATAATTTTGTGACATGGCCTTTGTAACTTGTTTTGTAAAATATTTCAAAACCGTATTTTCTATATGGACTCATACACAGTCCGAGGGTTAAAAACCAAAAGCTCTGATACCAATAAATGTAACCCCCTAGACCCGGCCTATGCGTTTCGACTAAGTCTAGTGGATCACAAAGACATTTTCCAAAACCAATCAATGTAAAATCACATTATTCATGATATGAAATTATAATAAATTATAATTTTAAAACTCAACTATTAAATATAAAACCAATCAGTAATAAATTAATTTTAAACATATCTTAAAAATTAAAACCACGATAAACTGAATAGTAATAGCAAAAGTATCATCATTATAAAATCTAATACTTTAAAATAGGTCCATGTCACCAGAATAAAGTCAACTTACAAGATTAAAATATTACAATCAGATATACTTCAAGAGATATGTTGATCCTCCATGTGCTCAAGCCGAGGTATCTAACCAACAGTATCTGAAAGGGGAAAAACATTTTCGAAAGGTGAGCTAGGCTCAGTGTGTCCCAACATTACCATAAAATCACAATAGGTACATTAAACAAATCATAGTCCAGTAAATCTCATAAATTCGTAAAAGAGTTTAACTTTTGAAAATCATAGTTTAAACCCTTTTCTGGTACACCATCAGTAGTTCCCAAAATTATTTTCCATATAGCTTACTTTATGCACATAGAAAAAAGAAAGCCGACTTAAGGATAGGCTATGAAGCTTGTATCCTTAAGCCCAAGTCAATAAGTCCATATAGCTTACCCTAAGCACACAACAAAGGAAAGCCGACCTAATGAAACATCTTGGGGCCCTTAAGAGTCACATTAGACCCGTTTATTAGCTTGATCAGAGCTATACAATTGTAGTTCAATCCATCCCAAAATCAATATACATATACCAGTCATCAAAGTCCATAAATCATCAACAATAAATCGGTGTACCAACAATAATAATCCATAGATTTCAATGTACCATATTTCAAAACATATAAAACAATTATGTAGTAAACAGGAACACACCTCGATAATGGGTTCAGATAGTAGATCTACTGATTGCTGGTTTCACCACGCTCTGCTACAGTTTTCGATTGGGTGAATACTGGTATACGTGGTTTAACTGATCTAGAAGAGCTGGGTCGAGCTGTCAAACGATCTGGAGAGTCTCTTGTACCTTCAAACAATAATAATTAATCAGCCCCAAATCTTACTTAATTGTTCAATGCTAAAATTCTTAAGTATATAAGTATTGTTCAGGTTTGACTATCATTTTAGGGTATTTCGAGTCTGAATTTGGCCAAACAGATTGCGGAATCGGAATCAGGACGTCGAAAAACATAAAGTATGACTTTTCGAAAATTTAGATTCTGTCAAAGTCAAAGTCAACCACTTTGACCATCAATTTGGAGGCCTTCGAGTTCGAATTTGACGAAACGGACTTCGGAAACGGATTCGGGACGTCGAAAACTATCAGAATAGGTATACTCGGAAAAGATTTACGGTCGTTTAAGGGTCGGTTAAAGCCAATTTAAGTTTTGGTCAAAGGAAGTCAACGGTCAACGGTCTGGTCAACGGTCGGGTCGGGTCAGTCGGGTCTGGTCGGGTCAGACTGATCAAACCGGTTCATACCGGTAAAACCGGTTTGAACCGGTCAAAACCGATCAAACCGGTTTCCAGCCCTCCACTCTCCCTGAGGCGGCGCGTGTGGCGCTTGAGGCCTCCTCCGGGGGTCTAAAATTTCCGGAAAAATTTCTAAAAATTATTTTGAGCGATTTCGAGATACTTACAAAGATCGGTTCAAAGTTTTGAATGGCAGAGAGCTCGATTTCAACTCAGTCGAATCTTTGACTGCTTCACCTCCTCACGTGCCGCCATCGACGGCGAACAAGGTTGACACCGCGGACTCGCAACGACACAAGGAACACGATGGTGCAGAAGGTGTTGTAAACGGAGTAACGATCGGCGGTGAATTTAAGATTTTCCCGGCGATAGAGCTAACAAAAACGTCGAGACTTTGACTGGAAATTCCCGACTTTTGGCAGCGTTTCGCTTCAATTAATTTGAAGGGTTTGTTCCTCGCTCGATGATGAACACAACGATGGTTTCAAAATGACGATCGGAATTCAGACGGCGTTGGGATCTAAGTCAGAAATCGGCGTAGGGGGAAGGAAATTTGGGAGCAATTGAGGTTTGGTTTTCTGTTTTGAAACAGAAAACTACGTTTATATCATAACATACCTAACTTTCTTGGGTAAATTCAGGGCTTGGTCCCTGAATTTTCTTTAACTCTAAAACAAACTCTAAGTTTTAAAATCTTTCAATTTAGTCCCCATAATTTACCGATTTTCACAATTAAAACCTCCAATTTCAATTAAATATTATTTTGAAAATATCCAGGTTGTTACATCAAGCCCCTGTTAAACAACAAATTTGGAAAAAGAATGAAGTCCCTAACCCTTCTCTACTGTCTGAACCAGTCGTTGGAGGCATAGAACTCTTGCAAGAACATGAACATTATATTCCTATCCCAGTCGAAAATGCTCCAGTTGACTTTGTGTCTGAGCCAATTGTTACATTAACTGAAGGTTAGGTAGATTTTCCAAAAAATCCTGATGTTGCTATCAGTGTTTCTAACGTAGGTAAAGAAATGCCCCCCCAATAAAACTACTGATGTCTCTTCTGAGAATTTAAGTACTTCACAGCTTTATAATCCTATTCGGGGTAGGGGCAAACCAGTTAATCAAAGCAACAAAAGTTGAGATAGAAGGTAGTGAAGCTACCCTTGATTCTTCTTCTTTATGATTTGCGTTTTCTGGAATATCAGAGGACTTAATTGTCCTCGAAAGCAAGCTAGTATCATTAGAAGAGCTAATTCTAATAAAGTCAACGTTCTTTGTCTGCTCGAAACCAGAGTTAAAGCTGTTAAATCTTTTTCTATTCTTTAAAACAAATTTGCTAACTGGAATGCCTTTACCAATTATGACTTTGCGCATAATGATCGAATATGGATCTTATGGAGAAAGGGTATATATTTCACTCTCTGTCATGCTTCCAAACAATGTATAACCAGTAAAGGTTTGCATTCTGGTATCCATTTATCCTTACTGATGTGTATGGTAGCAACGATGGTAGGGAAAGAATGCTCATTTGGCAGCAACTAAGGGATTTAGATAGAAATTTAGGCCATTTCCCTTGGATCATAGGTGGTGATTTCAACATCATCCTGAACTCTAATGAATCTTCTGACTTTGATCTTTTGGGTCCTTCATCTCCCTCTGATATGAGAGATTTTCATGATGTTCTCTCGAATCTTGATCTTTTTGACCACCTCGTTTTTAGCCCAACTTATACTTGGAGCAATAAACAACAATTTTTATTCCTAGCTAGAAAACTAGATAGGGTTCTTATCAATTATAATTGGATCAGTTCTTTTCGCTCTTCTCATGTTGAGTTCATTTCTCCTGGCATATCTGACCACTGCCTTGCTCTTCTTTGGACTCACAAAGAGGTACAAGTCAATCGTCCTAAGCCCTTTAAGTTTTTAAATTTCTAGACTCTTCACTCTAATTTTTTTATCTCTGGTAGAACAATCTTGGTTTATCCTTGTTAAGGGCAACCCTATGCAGATTCTTTTTTCCAAGCTTAAGCGCCTTAAACCTCACCTTAGAGCCCTTAATAATTCTTTCTTCATTGATCTATCTTCTCGAGTTAATCTTAAAAAAACTAAATTAGAACATCAACAGCTTAAAACCCTCAAAGAAGAAACCTACTATGATTTGGAAATTCCCTTACATAAAGATCTTAAGCTTCTTGAGGATGCTGAAGCTATGTTCCTAAAGCAAAAATCTAAGGTTCAGTGGCTCAAATAAGGGGATAAATGTTCTAAATTCTTCCATTCTGCTGTTGCCTTTAAAAATAAAAGAGACACCATTAGACTGTTGATTGATGATCATGGAAATAGACTAGAATCTTTTGATGCTATGTCCTCTAAGGTGATCAATTTTTTCTCTAATCTCCTTGGCTCTATTGACCCAATGGTTAAGTGTACTGAACATAATTTGCTCAGAGATCTCCTTCATTCCGCTTTGCGTACTGACCTGGTTGTTAACCTTAGCAAAGACATTACTAAGAATGAAATTAAAGATGGTTTTTTAGTCAAGGAAACGACAAAGCCCCATATTTTCTTTAAAAAGTCATGGGTTATAATTGGTGATGACACCGCTGCTGCAATTTTACAATTTTTTTCAGGAATCCTACATTCTTCCTGCTTTCAATGCCACAACTATTGCTTTGATTCCTAAGATCCCTAATCCTAGTAAGGTTAAAGATTTTAGACCAATTTCTTGTCGTTCTGTGGTTTATAAAGCAATAACCAAAATCCTTGTTAACAAACTATCCAATTTAATCCCTCATCTTATCACCCTTAACCAAACTACTTTCGTGAAGGGCAGATCCATTGTTGATAACACCCTTCTAGCCCAGGAAACAGTGAGAGGATACAATAGAAAGAATATATCTCCTCGTTGTTCAATGAAATTTGACCTCCATAAAGCATTTGATTCTCTTAATTGGGAATTTTTATCTGCTATTTTAAAGGCTATGGACCTCCCTCCCATTTTTACTTCTTGGATTGAAACTTGATACTCAACTGTAAGCTTTTCAGTTTCTTTAAGTGGGAGTCTGATTGGGTATTTTAGAGGAGCAAGAGGTGTTAGGCAAGGGGATTTCCTATCCCCTTTCCTATTTGTTCTTTGTATGAATGTCCTATCCAAGCTCTTGAACTTGGCTGCGTCTAAAGGTCCTTTTAGTTATCATCCCAAATGCAAGCGCATTGGTCTTACTCACCACTCATTCACTGATGATCTATTAATTTTCTACAAAGGAACTGTAGACTCTATCATTGGAGTCACTTCTGTTCTTGATATTTTTTATGAAATTTCTGGCCTTAAATTAAATGCTTCAAAATGTGAACTCTTTTACTGCTGGTGTTTCTAATTTCACTCTTGATGAATTGAAAATGAATACTGGATTCAAACTTGGTAGCTTCCCAATAAGGTATCTGGACATTCCTTTGGTTACCAGGAAAATTACAGAAAAAGATTGTTTTACCCTCATTGTCATCATTAAAGATCGATTACATCAATGGTATGGTAAGACTATAAGTTATGCTGGCATATTAGAGCTGTTTTATTTAGCATTACTAACTATTGGTGCAGGCAAATCTTCTTACTGTTCTCTGTCATTAAAAATATCGAATAATTATGTTCTAGATTCTTTTGGAAATGGGCTGACAAACCTGCAACTGGTGCTAGAGTAGGTTGGCGGAAAATCTGCCATCCCAAATCAGAGGGAGGCCTTGGTCTTAAGGATTTAAAAACTTGGAACAAAGCTTGCATGATGAGCCTTATAAAGAACATACTAGCTGATGAAGGATCTTTATGGGTAGCATGGATAAAGAGCTACATGTTTAGAACTAATGATTTTTGGTCTGTTACAGTCAAATCAAACATGAGTTGGAGCTTAAAACAGATTTTGATGCTAAGGTCTGAAGCCTCCTCTATTATTCCTTCGATCTCCAAGAAAATTAGTGATATTTGGAATGACATTAGGGTGAAGAACCCGAAAGTTCACTGGCAATCTATTCTTTGGTTCCCTCTTCTAATTCCTAAACATAGCCTTATATCTTGGATGACATTCCTTGACCGACTCCCCATAAAATAGAGGCTCTATCGAATGGGGATCGTCATTGACTGCCACTGCACATTTTGTGGTGCTGGAATGGAAACAAGAAGCCATTTATTTTTTTAGTGCCAGGTAGCTACTGCACTATGGTCTGCAATTTTCTACTGTAGTGGTCTTCGGTTTAGGCATCATTCATGGGATGCTCTCTACGCTTGTGCAACTGCTAACTGGAAGGGATCTTCCCTCCTCACTTCAATCATGAAACTCTCCTCGAATGCTTTGATCTACAAAATCTGGAAAGAAAGAAACAAGAGGATTTTTCAATCTCGTGCATCAACTGTCGAAGCTATGTTCAGTTCGATCAAGGAAACTGTTGGATTCAAACTAAGGGGAAGGCATATTAATCGCTTACACACTGCTAATATTTCTCTTTGTAACCAATGGGGTATTATTTAATTCTATCTTCAATTGCCATTTTGCTTTTATGATGATCTTTGTAAATCCAAACATTGATTGTATTTGTAGCAGTTCATTGTTCTTTGGGTAATAAAATCAAATTATCCAAAAAAATAATATTTTCGATAATAACCGATATTAATATTTTTGGTAGAAAAAATAATATTTTAAGTAATATTTTATTAAAAATAATAAAGAAATACTACCATTTTTAATAGTGCCTTTTTTTATCTTAGATTAAACTATCTTTTCTAAATTTCCTGAGCCATGCATATTGCAGTTTTCAATGCATTTATACCTTTCAAGTCTGACACGATCGGATCGTCCAAAATTTTAAATAAACAAAATTCTCAACTTAATGGATGATGACAACGTTTGACTACGCCTCCATTTTAAGATTATCTCATGGCCATCTGGATTGACTATATATACCCACCTGCTTCAAAACCTTAATTAAAATACCTGCTTTCTTTTAATGTTGGGAGCACCTGCCAAATGTTACATGTTTTTTTCATGCTAATTGACTTATTTAAAAAAAGATTTAGGTGCATTTGAGCCAACCAAATCCACGTAAAATGTTAATTTTTTTAATTAAGAAACTCTGTTAATCCAAGCAAAAAGTTACTACAATGTAATGAAGTTTCCTTTTAACTAATAAGAATGATTAATTTTATTAAATGAAAAAATGAAAATATAGTAAAATTACAATTTAAGAAAAATAATAAAAATTAAAACAAGCTATTACATTATCAAAAATGAATCATACACGAAAAAAATTCAACCAAATAATTCTAAAAAAATGATATACGAACAAAGACTATTATCGATAGAGAATGATTAGTATCATAAAATACTAACATAAAAATGAATATAATAAAGACAATACATTGATAATTAACTTTATCACAACTTAAGCAAGACTGACATGAGATTATTAAGAACACCTATCAATATGGAATAACCAACTTATGACTTCAAATCAAAAATATATCGGCAAGATAATTAAATAAACACCAATTAAAGATACATCGTCAAATTCAATCTTGAAAAAGATGCGATCCAATAAAAGTTGCATGGGTAAATATATTTATATCATTTCCATTAAAAATAAAAAGACGTATTAAACAAAATTAAAATAAAATAAACATGAAAAAAAAACAAAACAAGAGGTAAAAGGAGGGGGGAACCGAAAGTAGAGAAAATAGATGAATCACATAACAAGAGTTATGATAAAGTATAGATGACAATTACTTGATTAAAGGTGGATTATGTCACCTATTAATTAACGATGAACTAAAAAGTAAAAAAAAAAAACTAAAGTTTTATACTATATTTTTCTAAAGAAAAATGTAACAAAATTTTATTCAACATAAAAATTAAATTAATGCAAAATTTTAATTCTGAATAATTATTTTAAACCGAGTTTAAATAGATAAATATATGAGTTTTGATATTTAATTAAAGTAGTTAGATTTAAACAAAAACTAAAATTTATATTTTAAAATTAAATTTAAACAATTTATAAGCTCAAAAATGTTAAAATATGCATCTTATAAAATAATAAGATAATGAAAAGAACGATAAGTGAAGATAAGGACACTTATCTTTCGAAATTTCTACGTATACATTCCTTATCCACTCCCCAAACCTTACTTTTTTCAAAGGTGCTTCTTTTCTAGTTTTAAGGGTAAATTACATTAGCACTTAAACTAGGTTTTTTTCATTTTGATATATAAACTTTAATTTTTTTTTTCAAAATCATATTTAACATTTAATTTATGTTTCATTTTGACACCCCTGTTAAAAACTTAACAATAGTGTTAACGTCTTACCATAAGATAATGACACGTCATCATTGGGAAAATAAAAAATAACACGTCAACACTTCAATTATTTTTTAATGGCGGGTTCTAAAATGAAACCCGAACTAAACGTTGGGTATGATTTTGAGAATAAATAAATAAAATTTAGGTACCAAAATAGAACAAATGTAATAATTTAGGTACTAAACATGTAATTTACCCTAGTTTTAATTTGTCATCTTTTGAAAACATTTTCTCCCACATACAAAAAGACTTGAAACCATTGTTGTTACACACACCTTGTCTGTCTCCTTCCCAAAAAAGCAGTGTTACAACTCTATTCAACTAGGGTCACAACAATATCTCTTCTAGTCCTAACTTTTTCCCATCCAGTTGTGCATTTCAAATTGCCAAATTAATTAGATGGTTGGATTTCAATTCTTTTCCACTTGATTTGAAGGAGAAACCGCACCCGTCAATTAACTTATCTTTAAAGTGATTCATAAATGGTGCAGTGTTTAGTTTAAAACCTTACGACAAGAAATCCAATTGAATGTGATAAAAGAAAATAAATAAATATAGGCATGAATGGAAAGCATCAGTTATAACTTTAATTATGATAAAACACGATTAGACTAAAATAATGATAATAAAGCTTTGCAATTTTATCACTTTACTTGATCATTATAATTTTGTTGCAACTACTGGTGATGGCTTTATATGTTGAAGTTACCATTCATCCCGTTGATCCATTGGGGGGCACATGCAAAGGAGGGAAATAAAAAGCCTTGTTAACGTAAATTTCACTCCATTGTGGGCAGTGTAGTTTTGTTGGTTAAAACGAGTCACGAAATCAGCCTTTCGTGTCCTTTTACATAAAAGTATTTGACCACCCTTCAATAATCTAAGCACTAGGGCGTTAGGTTTACGTAATGTAAGATTACATTTGATAATAAAATTACTGAAATGTAACATTACTATGAGATTATTGTATTACCTTATTTGGTTTGTTTAGCAGGAATGTAAGATTATAATGTTTGGTTGGAGAAATATAAGATTACTTGGATGTATATTTTATTAAATTATTCTTGTGATAATTTTTTTTAAAGTTAAACTTTAATATTATTATATATATATTTGAATGAAAATTCATAAAAATATTTTAATCGTTATACTATCTAACTTTTGAGGAGAAATTACATTTAATATATAATTAATATAATTAGTATATTAAATTTATATTTTTAAATAATGTTCATAAGTATCATATTTATTTATATAAAATATAATATGATATAAAAATAATATTATGGTAGTAAAATATTATTTTAAATAATTACATTTTTACAATAATACTATTTTTTTCATCCCATAAAATTATAAATAGTAAAATATTGAATATTAAATATATAAAATATTTTAAATTCTCAAAATTATTAATGTTTTAGTAAATCAAACTCTTTGTATATTATTATTATTTTTATAATTTTGAGTAAAGTATAAAAAAATAAGAATTTAGAAGGATAATTATAAAAAGAATTCATTAGTCCAAGGGTATTATTGTCTAAAGCGGTGTGAATGTAAGATTACCTAAGAATTTGTAGTTAATGATATTCCTACCATTTTAATCAAAAAATACTACTATTGAGAGTATTCCCGATAATGTAAGATTCCGTGAACTAAATGTGTGAATACAAGGCCGGAAAATAACATTCTCTTTGGTAATGTAAGATTCCGCAAACCAAACACACCCTAAAATGTATAGGGATCTAAAGGATGGATTTTGTTTTAGATTAAAGTAAAATATATGTTATCACCCTTTCCTTAATTTCACTCCTAACTCTAAAAATGATACCTCTAGGCTATGCCTTACCTCGACATGTAAAATTTTGCTAATTAAATGTAAACATCCATAGATTCATTCGTATAATATAATAAATGGAAATCTTATTAAAAATAAAAATATATTATCGTTTGTTAACAAGTAGAAAATTAATTATAATCTACACTAAACCAACGGTGGGATTTCCCCCTTTCCTTTTGTCCGAAGAAAGCGGGCGGGGGCATTTGTGTCATAAATCTTACCCTTAAGGAATTGGGAGAAGTTGACGTGTGTTGGAAACAGACAAGCCATGTCTGAAAAGAAAGACATGGAGTACTGGAGGAACCCAAGTGGGTTTAAAAACCCAGTTTAAGATGGTAAGATAACAAAAGCAACACGGTGAAGGCAAGCTGAAACCCTCTTCAGACAACTGACCTCCAAATTCAATTTCAAACAAGCAAAGAAAAGAATTCACTTCCTCTATTTAATTCCCTATACCTTCACACTTTCTTCTTTCTCTCTTCATTGCAAAGCTTTTTTTTTTAAGAATAATTGGCATGATGATCCATGTTTTCCTGGTATTTTCTCTCTGTCTTTCAGGTAATTATTTTTTCAAAGTTCCATTTGCATATCATTAGTAATTTCTTTGTCGAATGTGTTTTAAGCTAATGTATTTCTCATAATTACTTTACAGGTATACAAGGAGTTCGTTCTTTAGGCATCAATTATGGTCAAGTTGGCGACAATTTGCCTCCACCCGACAAGGTTCTTGATCTTTTGACCTCCCTTAAGCTCACAAAAGCAAGAATCTACGACACCAATCCTCAGATTTTAACAACATTTGCCAACTCCAACATTGAACTTATCGTCACAGTTGAAAACCAAATGTTACCCGTCATAGTGGATCCCCAACAAGCACTTCAATGGGTTACTACCCATATCAAGCCTTATTTTCCGGCCACCAAGATCACCGGGATCGCCGTGGGAAACGAGATCTTCACCGACGACGATACGTCGTTACTAGGATATCTTGTCCCCGCCATCGTCAGTATCCATGGCGCTTTAGCTCGAATAGGCCTAGATAAGTACATTCAGGTTTCGACACCCAATTCATTAGCGGTTCTCGAGGAATCCTACCCTCCTTCAGCCGGTAGTTTCAAGGGTGAGGTCTCGAGTGCCATGTCACAGTTTTTGCAGTTTTTGTCCAGCACCGGTTCACCATTTTGGATCAATGCCTACCCGTATTTTGCTTACAAGGATTCCCCGAACAAGATATCCTTGGACTATGCTCTTTGCAACAAGAACCCAGGAATGGTCGACCCTTACACCAAGCTACACTACGACAACATGTTATATGCGCAGGTAGATGCTGTGGTTTATGCCATGTCTAGGTTGGGTTATGGTGGGATCGAGGTGAGGGTTTCAGAGACGGGGTGGCCATCGAAAGGGGATCCTGATGAGGTCGGCGCTACCGTCCAGAATGCGGCTGCTTACAACAGGAATCTGCTTAGAAGGCAGATGAGTAATGAAGGGACACCTTTGAGACCAAATACGAGGTTGGAAGTGTATTTGTTTGCTTTGTTCAATGAAGATTTGAAGCCCGGTCCGACATCAGAAAGGAACTACGGTCTCTTTCAACCTGATGGAACCATTGCTTACAATGTGGGCCTCTCTGCTTTGGCAACATCTTCCTCAACATCACCAGCTTCCATTTCTCTTACTTCATCTGCCACCAAGGTGATCAAACCACAGGGTTTGTTTTATTCTAATTCTCCATTTAAACCAATAAAATTTATCAACAAATTGTATAGCACAGGCAATTGAAAAAGTTCAATTATCTCCTTCCTTTTTTTGCGCTCTTTTTAAATCGGTATTTATTTTGGAACAGGCCTCAAAGGTGACATACCAAAGCTTGATGAACTGGATGTTTGTGTGTTGGCTAATTGTCCAAGTTTTTATGACAAGACAATAAACAAAACGGTGACTTCATCCGCATGTAAACATAAACATTTTGGTAAGGAAAGAAGAATTGGGTTTTCCTTTTTTAGGTCATTTGTCATTCCTGAAATGATAAAAGAAAAGACCATCTGACAAGACCAAAGGTAACCCCAATTTTTTCACGAGCTAACTCACCAAATTGAACAACTTTCTACATAGCCGATGATGGTTTCATAAGCATCCCTTTCAACATACAAGTTCAAAAAAAAGGATTAAATCATCCATTAATATGATCAAATGCGGATGATTTCAGAACATACCCTCTTGTGGAATGTGTTGATTTTCTTTTGTTGATCACGTTGAAGATCAATGAGGTGGATTAAAGAAGAAAAAGAAAACACTAGATAGTTAGTCATTGTATTTCTTTTCGTTGTGGCAGTATAAGGATATTTTAGAAGAATTATTCTCTCAGTTGATGTAAAAAAAAACATATTTAATATTGTTAGAGAGAATTCAATAAATAAATTTATGTTTCGTCGCAAAGAAAAGCTTTTCTTTCACTTTTGGACGTGGAATTCACTACGGCTCTTATATCCATATATATATATATAAGACCTTAAAATAAGAATGATGATAATATTTAAAAAATTGTATAATATGAAAAGTTTAGAAAAGAGCGTATTAGATAAATGAATAGTTTAAGGTTCTGTTTGGAGCTTTCTCAGTCCCGAGCCTGAAATTGGGCGGCCCTTGCTTTATTCCCTGTGGACGAATGACCGTCAGCATTGGTCATATGCCATCCTTTTTCGCAAAGAAGCTTTTGAATATGGGCTATCTTTTCTTTTCTCTATAGAGATGAGGAGACAATGTAAGCTCATCCTCAGTTAATATGTCCAACTTGTTGCACATGCACCCCACAATAAAGATCTCCCACTCAAAAATTTATGACCTTTATTACTATGAAACAATATTTAAGATGTGGACAATAAGGTTCAAAGGACACCCCCCCCCCATCAAGGTTCAAAGCTAATGACATGTTTTTTAGACTTTAGTGGAAATAAAATGAACCATTTTGTTTGAGGCCCCATGTTCATGGAATTTAGCACATGCCTTTGCTTGTGTGATATGTTGGTGAAATAGCTATATTTTGATATCCCGTCATTGGGATATTATCATAATTTCAATTATTCTTTTCCACACAATTCCACCCTCGATTTTTATAAAGAGCTTTCATGAACCTTGAAGTTATAGGTCTATTTGTCCATGTCTCTTATATTGATTCTACAATCGCCTTCATTAACATAATCTATTTTTCACACACAAAATATATATAACAGATAAAAATAATAAATTCCAATAATTATGTTAAAATATTTTTTCTTATTTTAATATATCGTTATTATCAAAGATAATTCTATTTCTCAAATCGCTTGATGTTGACAGCGGAATTATTAGGGCGAAGCAGTTAATAATAACTAAGATTAGGCCAAAGTCAAAAAGTGCAAACACAGAAATCCATTTTGTTAATCACTCGTGCTTTATTTTATGTAGGTGTGTCGGCGCACTGAAGAATTTTGCTAAGGAATCAATAGCTCCTTCTCTTTTCTTTAAATTTTATATAAATAAATATATATTATCCAAAACTAGTGGTATGGGATTTAGAATCTGCCACATTGGTATTTGGGAGTTGGTAATGGATCTATAAGTAGCCCAAACGAGAATAAATTTTCCTTTTCCCAATTATGTTGGTGGATCGAATTTGGATTTTTATGTAAAAGAGAACTTTTTTTTTATATATAATCAGTCATTGTATTTCATCCAAGACATCCAAGAAAGCAGCAAGCTCATACAAAATAACAAACCAACTATACAATCTCCCAATCAGTACATAATTAACTATTTACAGTATCCAACCTGTTTATATTGAATCTATACAGTTTAATTCTAATTGCATCTTTGATAGCATTTATAATGGCAGCATACGGGCGAGATAAACCTCTAAAAATTCTTCGATTACGCTCCTCTCAAATGAAGTAAATGTACCCTGTCCATGCTAATTTGAGAATATGAACTAGCAGAGACTTTCCTTTTAAACTTCTATTCAACCAGCACAGCCGGTCATCCCAGCTCATGCTTTGCTGCTGCAATCCACAACTTAGCAATATAGCATCCCAAACTCTCCCTGAGTAAACACAATTCGAGAAGAGATGACTTCTCGACTCTAAATCAGCCCCCACAGAACCCACATTGAGTATCAGTCACCACTGTAAAACGAGCTAATCTCTCCTTGGTTGGCAACCTGTCGAGGATAGCCATCCAAGCAATCAAAGAATACTTAGGTATGTGCGCAGGGAACCATATAAGTCATGCCAAACCACTTTGTCATTCCTTACTCTAATTCTGTCCCAAATCCAACCACCCCTAACTTGAGACCAGTTAGTGGTAGCAGTAAACAAACAGCCAGCCTGTTCTCTCATTTTGATAAGTTTCCTATATGGATTTAATTTCACATTTTATTTTTTAGTTTAATAATCTATAATTTATTATCGTTTTTAGTGGAAAATGAGGTTAAGTGAGATTTTCGTATGCTTTCATCAAAACTTATTAGTAATCTATTCTTTTTCCTATCAAAGAAATAAAGAGTGCATTAGAGATAATCAGGGGAACAAGTAAGAGGGCCTAGGAGGAACTAATAGGAGGCTTGAATCCGAAAGGGACCAAAATAATAATAAAGCTTCACATCTAATTTGCGATTACGCCGATAGAATGAGTTTATCTCTAAGACAGTGATCTACCATGATGCAATAACATTTATTTTTATTATTATTTTATTTATCAATATTAACTCATTTGTTGCATTAGTAATTATTTAACAATTTAGAAACAAATTACTACTATTGAAAATATGGCTCTTACCATCAACAAATACATTCCTGTTCTATCCAAATACACTTTTTTAAACATTTAGAAGTGAACAAAGTCTTATTCAACTTGTCTACCAATACCAAGTCCAAAGCTCTTACCACAACCGCATATGCAGTCATTACACCCAACACTCCCAATACAAATACTACTACCTTAAGATCCTTAAGTTCGAAATAGATAATAAGTTGGTCAGAGGTCACATGAGTAACAATCGCTTTAATTTTTTCCATTAAAGACAAATCAATCAAATCTATATGAAAAATTAGAAAATAAGTACGGAGTTAATGACACATGAAATGAAAAATATGTTGTCGGAGAATGATTAAAGCTCCAAATGATTGATGATAAGTCAATCATGGAATAAGTACATGCTTAGGAAAAATTAGTTTATGACATTCTGATTTAAGGTATGAAGATGTGTGAGAAATTAGTTACCCAAATCCTCGTTCAACTTTCGAAACTTTTTGAAATATAAGAAGCATGACATCTCATTGGAGGAACTAATAAGTCACATGAAAATCAATCAATTCAAAGATAAGAACTCAATATTTTTGATGAGTTGTCTTTTAGATATAATCTCATAAATTTTTCCTTTAGTCTCAAACTTACTAAGTTTAGGAATGTTGACAATTTAAAAAAGAAAGTTAAGTTCAAATTCAATAAACTGAAGGGACATAATAAAAAAAAAACCTTATAACTTGATGAATAATGATAATAGATGAAAATTTTATTTCTAGTTACATTGTTAAATCTTTTGATCTATCGTATGTATGTTAGATTAAGAAATGCAAATGTTCATTCTCTTAGATTACTTGAAAAGAATAAATTACTGCCTAATCCAAATAATATTATAATCTAATAAGAGGGGTTTTAAGCCCAAGTTTGGAGACCAAAAATTATTTGACCGAGTCCAAAGGACTAACCCCGTTGACACTTGTCATTTGCTCATCTATTTTCCATTTTAAATCATGCAATCGTAAAAACCTCTAGAATTTTCCTCTTTTTTTCTTCTCTCAAAATCCTGAACACGTCAACACCCTCTAGCAATTTCCACTGAAAAGCAGATTCGCTTTAACTGTTTTTCTTATCGACGCTGAAAAGAAAGGTAGGAGAGACAGAAGAAGAGTGAGTTCAAGAGAAGAATGGCGGAAGAATTGGCGCTGGATTTGGAGGAACTAAGGCATCTTCAAAGCATTGCAAAGAGGCCACGTATTCTATCTCTTATTTCCTCTGAAATTCGAAACTTGGAAAAGGTTTTCAGTTTTTTCCCATTTGCTATTATCGTTTTCTGTTTTCTGTTTTCTCTTTGAATTTTCATGTTTTAAATGAAATTTTGAACGCTTGTTTACATTCTTGTCTTCTTGTTGAAAGACAATCCAACCATGCCTTGTTCAGATTTACCTGATTCTGATTCGAATCTTTCATGGATTCTACAGTTGCAGACATCGAGAGAAGATGGAAATGCAGTGTCTCCTCCTACTGCTTCACAAATTCCAACTCGAATATCAACCTCGGTTAAGGCTCCTATAAAACCAGCGTTGGCTTATGTTTCAGTCTCATCGTTCAGCTGGGATCAGGATAATGATAAAGTCAAGGTAATAAAATTGATGTTCGTAAAGATTTAAGAATTCTCCATTGTTGTTATCAAAACTTCCCAACATTACACAAGAGAAATAGTGTTATCTGAATTTTATGCCTAATGTTGTATTTACGGGACAGATATATGTCTCCCTAGAAGGAGTTGAGCAGGAGAAAATTCAAACAGAGTTCAAATCCATGTCATTTGATGTTAAATTTCATGATGTCAAAGGAAAGAACTATCGATGTGCTGTTCCAAAATTGAATAAGGAAATTGTACTAGAGAAATGCAAAGTGGTAGTTAAGCCTACAAGAGTCATCATCACATTGTTCAAAGCTTCTAAAGGGGATTGGTCCGATTTGTACTTCAAGGGAGACAAGGTAATTGCCTGCAATCCGGATTCAATTTACATGCTGTGCAATTGAATTAAAATGCCGCGTGTGTGTGTGCACAGCTGAAACCAAATTTGGATAAAGAGCAAGATCCAATGGCTGGAATCATGGACTTAATGAAGGTAAGTTTAGTGTACAAATTATATAAAGCATTACTTCCACTATTTCTGTTGATCATCGAATGTCAAATTTACAGAATATGTACGAGGAAGGTGATGAGGAAATGAAGAGAACAATTGCCAAAGCGTGGACTGATGCAAGATCTGGCAAAGCAGAAGATACTCTGAAGGGTTATTGATTAATCCAATATTAAAGGATATTGACAGTAAATCTTTACGGATATTTAAGTGCAATCTGGCATATTTTTGTGCTTTTCCTTTGGAGCTTGTCTGTGTCTGTGTCTGTGTCTGTGTTCATGTTGTAGGTGGCTGCTGTCTGAACATTTTGTTCTTTCTATGAAGTATCATTATGTCATCCAATGTTTCATGGTTATGGACATATGGTTAATTAGCATGCTGAAACTACTTTTAAAAATGGCATACACGCATATATATTCTATTCTAGTTTCTCACCAACAGGAAGTGTTCAATAATTTCGACTTGCTATAACTTTAATCTATATCATGTTAAAACTTTCGGTTTAAAGTAATCATCTAATTTTTCTACTAACATACATACGTTTGTGAAAACAAAACCCAGGGAACTGATATATATGCGAGTGTGTGTGAACTAATCTTTCAATTCTTCTTCCAAATCTTCTATCTTCTATTTATATATCTCTATATTCTTCTTTATTGTTGAGAAGTGCAGGTGGTTTTGATCAAAGGCCCTTGGAACCTCTTCGTATGGATGTGGATAACGACATTCAGACCGCAGAGTAAGGAAAACAATGATTTTGATTACTCTTTTTGATATATTGGTGGATCATAGTGATTCTACCAAAAATCACTTTTTTCTACTCATGAGATAATTGAAGAATTCTTCAGTGCTGGCGCTTGACGATGAATTATGAACTAGAAGAGAAGAGATGGATTTATTATGTTTTAAGAACTGACCGTATGTTGCTTATAAAGAATTAAAACTTGATCATAATTTAAGTTTAATTTCAGTAATAATCATTAAATGATGTAACGGATATTGGTGGATTTACATTGTTTGTTCGGATTTAGTAGAAATGTCTCCCATGCATGTACTTGACATTCTTTTTTTAAAGTGTTTTCTGTTGTTTTATTATTGTTATTATTATTTGTTTAAGCTTTGAAGGAAACAAAATTGAAAATTGTATATAGATAATATGTATATTATATTGATGGATAGAGTCGTAATCTATTGATTGTGTTTGCTTGTTAAATATAATTATATTATATTATAACTTTTTAGTTGAAATATAATTATTATAATTTTTATGACATGTTTTATAGTATAAATTATAATTATAAAATTGTTCAAATACATTATATTTCAGTTAATGAGATCTATAAATTAGTATAATTGTTCAAATGCATTATAATTGTATTTAAATATGGTTAGACAATAACTTTTGAAACGGCTTCTAAAAAGGATTTAATATATGTTAAAGTTGTATTAAAATTGTGGGTTTAAATTTCCGAGGACTGAGGTGGAATTAGGCTAAGAAAACCCCCCCGAAGACGATGATTTCTAGGCTTCATTACTAAACCCCGAAGACGATGAACCTCTCTTTGACCTGGCTAAGGTCATTGGTTCATTTCTCACAGAGAATAAATATCATTCAGTGGTATAAACATTCTAACTAAAGAAATAAGTTTCTACGAATTAAAATGAGCCCAACTTCTTTCCACCTCATGCATGGAGTAGACGCTACGAAAATGCTCCTATTCCACGAGACATGAGCCCTACAAACGAAGCCACTTCACATGCAAACTTGCGATATTCTCTCCTTACCAGCACAGTATGTCAAAGCAACAAACATTTTAATCCTAGAATTGGGGTATCCCTTAGCCATTAGTAAAGGTTTTCTAATGTTGAAAACAAATGAAATATTGGAAGTCAAAAGGCACGAACCTATTTGTGTAGCTTTCTTTCATTGTTAAGTTTGTAAGCGCTTCCCCAAGCCATATTTCATTTAGTTTTACCCAATCGAGAATGAGCCATTTACGATGCTCTTTTTACGTGTACAACCTATTGCAGCTTTATATCTTCCATCTCACGAATGCTCTTTTTCTCAGAATGGGAACATACTAAAGCAAATATTACAAGGAACACGCTGCATATATAAATTCTGATATCCATGTCCGAAGAAAATAGTTGACCAGGTAATGCAAATAAAAAGGTAAACCCTAGCAATATTTGCTGCACTACTGCATTTAAATCTGTGAAAGAAACAAGGGCGGCCTTTATATCTCTCTCGTAATAGCTATGCAAGGAAAATGGAAATACCTAGACAAGTAAAACTAAGATAAAGATTTGCAGATCCTCTAATATCTATGTACTGTCCGCTTTTATCACATTTATCCCCACGTTACAAGCCTAGTATAATATTGCTTTCAATCCATCATTCAAGAAAATGGATCGAAAAAGAAAATGAAGAATGGTCCAATAGCAAAGTGGAAAGCTAATTAAGCACAACAAAATCCGCTTGAACGAACCATTCATCTTTTTATTATTGCAATTACGTTTTCTGATGAAAACATCGCGCTCTAGGGTTTTGCAGTAGTGCCAGAGAGGCCACAGATAAGGTCCTGGGAAACAGCCGTGTCAGGCTTGTCATTGTGGCACGGAGATGAACCTGAAGGAGGGACGAAACCCTTGGGAAGCATGACGGTGAAAGGCCTGGTCTTGAAGTTGCTATCCATGTTGATCTTCCTTCGCTTCGTCAACTTCCTCTTCCTCTTCTTATCGAATCCCCTCTCCAGCTTGTTCAAGAAGTAGGGGGTGGTGTTCTTGATGCGCAGCACTTGGTACGCTGCGGCTGGTTGGCGACCAGAAGGGTCGGTAGCGTTTATCTTAGGATGGATTTCATTGCATGAGACAGGGGAGGAAGAATAGGAGAGGAGTAAGAAGGCGACGAAGATGAGAAGAAAAGCATAGAAATGGTTCAATGTTTGATCAAAGAAAACCATGACGGAATAGAGTGCTTAGGTTGTGATGCATTTGTATTAGACGAAAGAGGAGTAAAGAAAACAGAGAAAAGAAGGTTTAATTTCTGAGATTTAGAAACTGTTAATCACAGGAGGTTTGTTGTTGCAGCTTTTAAGAGAGAATGAGAGTTCGAGGAGGTGATGAAGGTTCGACCCGAGAGTCGAGACCACCCGCGTGGGTTTATTGATATGTTCACTAGGCGGTCAAGATATAACCGAAGGCTTTATACGTGTGTTTCTCTCAACTACGAGTGAAATATGACCATAATGTTATTAACTTGTTTGACTTAACATTTATAATTGCACTTGTGGTCCCAAATAATCGGATCCTCTTATATCCATATTAATGTTTCATTATCATTGCCTCAAGGTTACATACTGTCTGCGCTGATTCATGATTCTTTTTTATTATCATCAGTTCACATTAATACATTCTCACCCTCATTTTGAAGGAGAAACAAATTATCAGCATCTCTAATGACATGTATATCATCAATTTCTGCATTCTCTGCATTAATGACTGGTAAATGTGTGGCCTCCAAACTTTTCACCTGCATTTTCACAAGGTTATGGAATTAGAAATGAATTAAAGCAAAAGCAGTTAAGTAAGGTGGTTTCAGGTTCCAAGTCCGAACGGAGCTAGAAGTTCGGGGACAGTGTAATTAACGTAGGTTCGTCCCTGCCGTCCAGGGTTTAAAAATCCCCCCCTTTTTTTTTTTGCTTTTCTTTCGTTTCATCAACCGGGGTACTAGTCTCATATGAGCTGATTTGTAATTGTTTTTCCCATGTGTTCAGATTGATTTCGGGACTTTTTGCTTTTACTTACCAGCAACTCTGAGCAGCTCTGGTATGGAATCAGGTAGGAGTATCAACTTTCCAAGTTGCCTACTTGATGTACTGCTGCTCTTTAACTGCATGTGAATAGTAACTCTTTTCTTGGTCCGTATCATTAGCTCCCTATAACTGCGTGAATTGAAGAAACTTTGAGCCCCGATTCTTACCGTTTATTTTTTAGTGGTTGAATTTGAAGCTGTCGTGATAAAGATGATGCTCATTTTAGATTAATGTTTTACTTTTTTTTTTGTATAATCCTTATTTGATATGAGTGTCTAATTATTTTGTTAATGAATTGTAGAAATTTTTATAAAGTATTTGTTTAATTTATAATTCTAGTTATAAATCTTAGTCGTAATTCTATTTTTTTATTCTTAATTAAATTAATTACTTCTATTTTTGCTAAAAAGAAATCGCAATTAGTTTTCAAGTGGAAAAAAGTTGAAAGAGTTGAATTGTAAACAGTGGTAACCAAGTCATCATTTTGTCTATTTTTACTTACCAATCTTTATTTATAGAAACAGTATATCTTCAAATACTAACAGATCGATTAATTCATACGAGTTTTACATTTGACATTACAATATGTACAAGTTTCTACATTATCAGTAGATTATATTATCATTTTTCATCGATGAATAAATAAATAAATATAACTAATTGTTATTTGATATATTGATAATAAATTATTTTAATTCTACAAATAAGATTAAGAAATTGTTATTATTTTAATTATTTAATTTTTATTTGTTAAAATATTAATTAAAGACACATGACAAATTCTTTACTTTACTTATGGAATTAAAAAAAAATTACGTTATCAATATATTAAATAATATTTAAATTTGATAGATTATTGTTTGGTACATTAATAATAGAAAAAAAATTAGTTTCACAAGCTTGCAATTTATTACCTAAGACCTTTTAAACTATTTCTATGGGATGTTATTTGGTGCATTTGTAGGGAAATTCTCTTTTTTATAAAATCATTTTAGATATCCTTTATTTTTATTTAAAAAATTAAAAAATAAATAATTAAAATATTTATCATTAATTCCCCTGGGATTGTAGTTGACTTCAGGGATGGTCCGGATGAACCCCTAGTCATCCCCTAAAAATTTTAAATTATCATATATTTTAGATATTTTATTCTTAAAATTTTAGAAGTTTACCCTTTTAACATTTTATAGTTTACAAAGGGAGGCACTATAGTCTCAGCCATGTGTTCGAACATGGTCACATGGGACGGGAGGGGTGGGAATTAAGGGAACCCATATCCGAGGCTGCCTTTGTAATAACAACGGAGTTGCAGATCCATAACAAGACGTAAACAAAGAGAGAAAACAAGGTCCCAATAAAAATCTAAAAGGTCCAATCAAAGCAGTTGAATCCCTAGTCCAAAATCTAGGCTTGTTCGAGGAGAAGCTGCCGTTGCAACGCTCAATCTTAGTCGAGAGACAACCGCCGCCTAAAAACAAATCGGTTCGAGGAAGAAGCATGGGAAGAAGAAGTCAACAAGGAAGTACCTCAGCCTCCGTGAAGAAGGCGTTCATCATTCCTCCCTACATTGCTGACAAAGGGGAAATGTCCTGATTCAAGATTGGCTCATCCATTTGTGAATTCGACTGGTGAGAAGATGAGCAAGAGAGAATCCACATAGTTGGAAACCGGAGTGATGAAGTAGATAACTTCGAAACTAAAAACATAGATCTAGACATTTTGTGAGAGGTTTTGAGGAAACTAACTCGATTATTTGGTTTAGGACGTAACAGCAACCTAAAAATAGCTTCTTCTTTTCTTTTTTTTAAAGAAGTTGGAGATCTCATTAAAAACTCCTTTCGTATTCGTTCACATACTAAAGGTATGTTAATGAACATTGGAAGGAAGAAAAGAGTACCTCAAATTTTATTGATAAAATATCCGATACAAAAGACACCACGAAATATCATCTCATAGTAATGTACATCATTACAACATACACTTTAACCTCATATAACATCATCCAAAGCCACAGTCTAATCACCTTACATCTAATTACACCACCAGTAGTAGGAATAAAACAGCGCAACAGAACATAATACAAATTAAAAGCAACACCTACAACCATATAGACTAAAACAACCATAATTGAAGAGACAAGATCTAATGAGACTCATCTTCTTTAGGAGCCCAAGAGTTTGGTTTGAATGAAGGCTCTATCTCATGCACCATGACCTTGAAGAAGTTGTCACCAACCTTCAATTCCACTATCGCATCAATTCTCGCATCAACCTTTGTGAGGACTTGAATTTTTGCCCGATCAAAGGATGATGGAGACTGACAACTTTCGTCGATAGCTAGTAATAAACCCCACTTATCAGCAATGTTCTTGAAAGTATCCCAATTCCATGCGTGAAAAGGAACACCCTCACAAACTAACCATACTCGACGACACTCCATTACCAAACTCTCTGACCAAACTTCGACTAAGGAGAACCACTCTGTGAGAATCTTTGATTTATTGTTCTTCACACTTCTCAAAGAAACATTGTCTTCGAAAATCATTAAAATCGCATTACCAGCAGCTCTCATTAAGGTGAAGCCAGTGAGGCCCTTCACTTGCATTTGTCTAGCAAGATGACCAATTTTGACAAAGTCCTTGCACCACCCCACTAGACAATTGCTCAACACCTGAAGTTTTTCTTCATCTATAACACCTTAAACTTTAAAATGATTCTTCCCCGAAACATCTTCCATCTCGGACTTCCGAAGAACACTTGTCGAGGACTTTCTCCAATAGGAATGTCGAGGTTTGAATTTAGCGAAAGAAACACCAATTTTGCTGTCGTCGATACGAGAGTCATTCATTTTTGAGATCGCTCTCCTTGCTTCTTCAATTGATGCAAAGCGAATAAAACCAAAGCGAACTCCTTTTGAATTCTTTTTATTTGGGATAAAAGCATGAAGTATCCGACCATGAGAGCAAAATAAAGATCCAAACCTCTCCCAATGGATATTCTCTGGTAAATTTTCAACAAATTTGTGAAGCATCCAGACTTGTCAACTCTGCATCCCTTTGTGATTGACTCCCCGAATCCCTCGTGTACACCATTTACTGCAGACTTGTCATCGCAACACGCCGCTATAACAGGCATATGAATACTAGATGCTACATAAGCTGGATTTGACAATGGCAATACTAGAGGAACATGAGAACCTCCATACTTGTCCAAAGCATCAGAATCTGTAACTACAACTCTTTTAACAACAAGATTCTTCCTTGCAATCTCGATGTGCAATAGGGACTTCAACTTAGCATCAAAAACCATTTTCTGAAGGGCATCCTTAGCAGCAACTGCAAATTTAACAGTTAAGAAGAGAGCGAAACCCTTGGGCTTATCTCCCTTGAAGCTCAAATGCGAATCTTCAAAACCTGGAAGCCATCTCAAAAAATTCTACAGCTCTCTCTCTTTGACATCTTCAGGCAGACCCATAATGAAAATAGTGCGAACTACATCATGATGAGAAGGGTGAGATGGCAGAGAATGCGCGGCTGTAGAGGGTGGAGGAACTTGAACCGGAGGTCTCTGCTGAAGAGAATGAAGGATTCCAACACCCGACATGTGATGAAACTGTTGAAGTAAAAAATCCAATGACCAGACGAAATTCCTGCAAGCTCGGCGATGGAATGTTGTGACTGCCGGCGAAGAAAAGAAGGGTGGAGTTGATAAAGAGATTCCAACAGGAAAAACTTAAGTCTAAAGAAAGAAGAAGTTGCGCATAAGACCTTCAACTAACCATCAGAGATGGTTTAGAACGGGAGAACACCTTGACAGAACCAAGGTTGTTCTGTTTTTGACTAACCGGACAAAGAAAGAATCTCAGATGATGACAACGAAGTCCGGACGCTAGAAGAAGGGATTAGTTCGCAAGAGAGCAACGAGCCTAGTGGAATGAGGGTGAACTGGAGACGGACGCCGACGTAAATCGATGAAAAATGAAATTTAGATCTGCGCCGATTGAATGACTTTCTCGTAAATCTAATCTGGAAAATGGAATCAGAGTGAGGAGACGATCTTCCAGAGGAAAAACGACGGCCAACGGATGACGGTCGACAAGCAGCAGACGACGGACGTCGGACGGCGATGGTAAAGATGAAATGATGAATGAAGAAAAGATGAATGAAAACAAAAACACCTTGAAACCAATAGAGAAGCGAGAGCTTCTCTCACTAGGTTTGAAATTCAAAAATTACGGCTTCAGCTTCTTTTCTCTCACAGGACCTCTAACACGGTGGTCAAAAGTGGCACTGTCATCACCACCATCAGCGACAAAGAAGAATCTTTAGAGAGAGAAAGTAACAAGTGCAGTGATAATATGAACGAGAGGAAATCAAACCATATCAATATGCGACTTTAAAACCCATCAAACTGCAAATTTAAGTGGTAATTATTATCAATATAACCGAAAAGCCAGAGAATGCATTGCTTAGAACAACTTATGATCCTGTCATGACTATTAGATGTTAAAGGGGAAACTACACACTGTAGCTTTTACAACAATGGTTCAAGAACACTAGATTGTAGCTCCAACAGAGGCTTGCAAGAATGATATATAGCACTAAATATCATTCCACTAGAACGATGGTACTCATGTTGACAAAAATATGACGAAGGGCTAAGCCTTGGCTTTTCCTGCTTGATGAGATTGAATCGTCTGTTGCACCTTCAATATCTAGTAGACACAAAACCAATGATCAAATTCAATTTTTGCTTTTACTCAAATACTTTGTTATGCTTAACAAAAAGAGCATATTCATGCATTTAACCTTTTTGCAAAATATACATCAGGAATGTCACCTGAGAGCGGGTAGAAAAGAGTACAGAGAAAATATGGCTGATATATCTATTTACATTTTCTAAGATTACAATAGAGGTTTAAATTAAAAACATATTCAAATGAAACTGGACCCTGATGAATTAGGCAAAGCCAACAAAGTAAATAGTGCACGTTAGAATAAAAAAAGTAGACAAATAGATTCTTAGCAAATTAGCACCCCCACAGAAATTACTTATTTCAGTCACTAATTAAGAACCAACAATTATTATAATAAGGATTCATATGCGGGTAGAACCAATGAACCCTTGCTTAATGCCTCAAACCACACTAACAATCAATCTTAGTCTCAGATGTCAAAATTTTCATTCTAACTAATTTGCAATTCAAAAACATGCTGTGCTACTGTTGTTTAAATTCAAATGCAGACACTTAATATAGCATCAGAACAGCACAATAAAAGCACTTTGAAAGGAAGAAAACCAACCGCTTCTCTCTTGCTGTGCTGCTTCTCTTCCAAATCTTGAAGAGATCCATCAAGCCGCTTCCTGTTGACGGAAATAAAGTTTTAAATTTAATATACATGAAACCATGGAATGATAATCCCAATAGCACATTACGCACAAGGGTATTGCCTAAGCATGTAAAAATAAAAAGTAACAGAGGAAGTATATCTGATTACAACTCTGTAAAGCTTGATGTGAATTATATAAAAATGCACATTGTGGGAAGATTTCCAGGAAAACGAAATCAGATATACTATCCAAACACATTTGAAACCCACTCATTTACATCAAAATTCATAATCCAAACACCACCGAAGCCTAGCCTTAGTATACAGAAGATAGTGCCTAACATAGCCTTAAAATGTCCCATAAAAAATAATACTATAAATGATTCTTAGTCTTAGATAAGATAAATAGGAACTGATACAAAATAAACTATCCACGTATTCTTTAGCAACAGAAGAAAAAGGTGACAAGTAAAATGTGAAAGGAAACTTACAGTTCAGCAGAGATGTACTCTATTCTCTTACGAACGTTGGCGTTAGCCTCTGCTAAATCTTGCTTAACAAGCACTGGACCGATCAACTTGTACACATTTGCATCCTCTTTTAATAAATCCAACTCCTAAGAAAATTTTCAACAAAAGAAATAATCATAAAAAGGCATATCAAGGCTAATTAATTACAAACAATTAAACCAGCACAATAACGAAAACCCATCGAAACCTTGAGGACTAGCTCGTTCTCCCCCAACTGAATAGTATACTTCTTCCTGACTTGATGGTTCTTCGCTATATCTGGGGAGACCGTTCAATGAATACATAAAAAAAATAACCATAGGGTTTCTTAATCGTAATATTTGAAATCAAACAGGAATTGAATAAAGAAGACGATGAGAATGGGTTTGGTTTGGTTTGGCTTGCCTTTTTGGAGTTTGCTGAGATCGTTAGCTTTGTTTTCGAGGTCCCGCTGCAGTTCTCGAAGAGCTGTGGAGGAGGAACTCATTGTTGTTTTGCTGCTTTGTTATTCCAGGCCCTAGCTGATTTACCTATGCTCAGCTTTGATCGACAGAAACCGTGCAGTATAAAAGGCCTGTCTTTCCTTCCATGTATTTGGGCCGGACTTCGGATTAGACAAACTCAATGTCCTACAGCAATACCTCAATTTACTTATTTGGGTCGAACTTCGAAATATATTTTTGTATTAATATATTTTATTTTAGTACGCTGATATCTTCTATTAAATTCTTTAAATAAGATTAAAAGATCAAATTATAATGTTTTGAACAGTATTTTGAAAATTGGATCGGACCGGCCAATTCAACCGGGAACCGCTACCTGGTCCGGTTCATTCTACACCGGTTAAACCGTTACCAGTGAATCGGAATGAACCGTTGAACCGGCTGTGAACCGTTCGAACCGGTTGAAAACCGGTTCTGTTTTTTTTTTCTAAAAAAAATTAAATCAAACGACATCGTTTGTTAAACGAGTCGAGTCAAACTCGAAAATTTTAAAAGTAAGCTCAACTCGACTCAAAAACTCACGAGCTAAAAATTATCAAGTTCAACTTAAACTTGAAATATAATATTGAAACTTGAATTAAAAAAGGCTCAAACTCAAAAAAAAAAAATTAAAAGCTCGATTGAAGCCTGAAATTCGAGCTCGATTGAAACGAAAGAATAGTTCGCTCTGTGCTCACCAAAAGACTCCATGATTTTGAATGCCAAATTACATCTATTATTTATAGAAGTCGGTTGGAATGCTCTTCTATGTTTCTTAGCCATGTGGGATTGTTTTGTTTTCATATTTTTACTCTTTAGACTTTTGTGATGCTCTTCTATGTTTCTTAGCTATGTGGGATTTAAAAAAAATTAAATCAAACAACATCGTTTGTTATGATTTTTTTAGCCATAAATTTATTTTTTTATTATAGTTATATAATTATATTTATTATTTAATATGTTTTACCTTAAATATTATGTTGTAGTTGATTTGAATCATTTTGTTTCACTTGATTTTATGGTTTTTAACTTATATATGTTATAACTTGTTTTGAATATGACTTGTGATATAAAAATTATTTTTTATTAAATGTTTTTTATATTGTTATTTAATTTTTTAAATAATTAATTAATTATGACGTCGTCCGGTTCTTCTGACCGATCTGACCGGTTGAACTAGTAAACCAGTAGCACGACCAATTCGTTGACCTGTCCGATTCTAAAAACCATGGTTTTAAATGAAAAAAATGTTGAATTAAAAGGATTATGTCATAATAGGCTTCTATTATATCATTTAGTTGTTGACTATGAAAGAGATAATTATATAAAATTTAAAAAATAGTAATAAAAATATCACATCAATATCATTATTAGATGGCGTTTGGTTGGATGAAATTATTTGGATTTGAGGGGAATTAGAATCCAATTATATCACTTTCCCATGTTTGGTTCAAGTTTTCCAAGCGAATTGGAATCCCTCATGGCTTCAACTTTCTATCAAATGAGGGAATTGAATTTCATCCAAGAATGGATGGAATTCAATTCCGTTGTTGGATGGAATTGAAATTTGATCATTCTACCTTCATCAATTTTTTGGTAACTTATTCATATATTGAATAAAAATATTTTTTTATTATTTCGGGTTGGGTTTCTAATTCATATATTCAGGTCGGGTCGGGTCGTTTTTTTCAATAATACCCCTCTATATATATATTTTTCAATTAAGTCACTATTTTTATTGAATAAAAATAATTTTTTATTATTTCAGGTCGGGTCGGGTCGGGTTTTTTTAAGTGTGATATTCAGGTCGGGTAGAGTTCGGGTTTAGGGTGAAAAAAACCGGACCGACCCGAAAAAAAAAATAATTTTACTTTACATATTTAGGAATAATTACAATAATACCACTCTATATATAATTTTTTTCAATTAAGTCAATGTTTTTATTGAATAAAAATATTTTTTATTATTTTTTGTCGTGTCGGGTCGAGTTTCTAATTCATATATTGAATAAAAATAGTTTTTGGTATATTTTTTAGTAACTAATTAACATACTCCGATTGGAATGTATCGAAATACTGCTCTATCTTTTGGTAACTTATTAACATATTTTGATTGCGATGATTTTAACTTATGATGTTTATTAGCATGATTTTTATAATTTATTGAAATGAATAATCAATCAATAAAATGAAAATTTAATTTTTTTATAATATATTACTATATGTAAGTTGTAAAACAAATTAAAATAAAGTAAAAAAATAAGAAGGGAAATTCTGTCATTTTACATTACTGAAATCAAATTCATCTGACATGTCTGCGAACCAAACAGAATATGAAATTAGATTTTAATTTCATTTTCTGCCAACCAAACAGAATATTGAATTGTATTCCAATTCCTGACAGATTTTAATTCCTTCATAGATTCCAATTACCTCATAAACATTTCAACGAATAAAACGTAACCTTAATTTTTTAATGATGTATGATTGAAATATAAATAAACATAATGTTAAATATGATATAAAAAATCATTAAAACAAAAAAATAATAAACAAATGATCAAATAGTTAATTTAATCTAATATAATTAACTCAAAACTAAAATCCAAAAGTTACACATTGTTAAATTGATCTTGAATAAAGTTAAAATCATAAAGTAACAGTGATCAAATAAAATAATGTACTGTAATTGCTTTAACTGGAAAAAGCTAAAGTGTAAAGGACGATTTAGTACTGGAATCTTTGGATAAAAAGACACTGCCTGCTCTGTCTCCCATCCATCACCAGCACAGAGAGTGGAGTCTTTTAGCCGGGAGGAGCAAAGGGGATTTTGGGAAAGAAGATGATGGCCGAGAGTTCCTCAAGAAGCAAACGGGTCTTCCTCTTTATGCTTGTCTTTGCTCATTTCTCTACTCTAACTTTAGCTGAAGATGGTATGCACCTTTATCTCCTTTCCTCCCTTATTCATCCATCTACTCATTTACATTTTTTGTTACACAGCATCACTCAAACTTCATTTCTCTTTTCGCTTTTTTGGTTTCTGAGAAAATCTAGTCAAGTTCTTACATTGCCTCTTTGGATTTTTCTTGGTGGGTTGTTGTTATGTTAGAGATCTGTTAAAAGCTTCAATTACATTAGCTATAGTAACATGGTAAATCTGTTATCATATGTTAGGGATTTGATTGTCTCTAGGCTTTTCTGTACAAATTTATGATCAGCTGATTTTACTTAAAATAGATTTGGTTCTTCCATCCTTCGCCATTCATTGACTCCTTCAGAGAGCAGTTAATAGACTCACGATTTTTATACTAATGGACTCCAATTTAATGCCCTTATTTTTCAGTGACAAATCCTTTCCATTCTCTCTTGCAAAATGCCCACATGGATTCCCTCATTTCCCGCTAAGATTCTCTTCTCTTTCCAGTAATCTCGATAACATCTTTCACTATTTTTCCTTTGATAAAGCCATTAGATCAATGCCATTTTCAGTAAAGAGTAAGATTTACCTATGCTTCAATAGAGCCACTAGAAAGATTTTTTGTGTTTGAAAGCCTTGAATAACTTTATACAACTCAAGCTGAATTGATTTTTAATTTTTTTTTAAAAAACTAAACTTGGGGCTTTAATGTTGTAGATCTTTTGATTCTTTTTCTCTTTTCTTTTCGAAATTCGAAGGGTTTAATCATACAGATAGTGGCTGTTCATAGTTTGAAAATAAGCATTAAACATGTTATTCGACTGTAGCTTTATGTCTCCCACCATAATTGAGTGTTTGTTGTTGATCCTTTCTCACTATAAGCCTGTTATTCCTCTAAATGTTTATTATTTATGTATAAATCATGTTAATAAATTGGGGTAGTTTTATATATTAATTATTTACAAGTGAGGAAGCTTTAAATGGGTTTAACTCTACAAGTGAATTTGCTCAGTCATTGTCGGTTGTTGCCTACATTATCAGTCGCCCTTGTGGGGTTAGAAGCATTTTCCACAAGGCATAGGTAGTCAAATTGACCGAAAGCTATAGCATCAACCCATATTTAGACGCCGATATATAGTTAATAGTAGCAAACTTTTAAGGGCTAGCTCGATGGCTTGATAGTTGGTACCTTTATTCACGGCAAATGTTGAACATTCAAGCAAGAAAAGTTGGTGAAGCAATAAATGAAACGAAAAACATTAGATAAAAGCATTCAAGGGAAATAAATAGAAAAATAAATATGGTAAATGTCACTCATAGGTACTGGCTCAAATATTGTTGAAATCTAATGTTATTGCTGTATACTACTGTAAGTATAAAAATAAGAAAAAAAAGGGAAAGATGTGAGTTATTATATAATAGAATATAAATGGGTCCTTCATGTTCGTTTCTCCCCATGTTTTAAGGTGAGTGAGATGACCAAAAAAGATTCACATTCAGTCATATGCACGCACTTCTAATTAGCCAAAATAAAATACAAGTAACGCACATTTCTACTTGTTCCTTCTTAGCTTTCATTGTTGAGTCAAGCCGTCAAAGTACGGGGGACTACTGACTAGTGTATGAAATAATGGGCCGAAACGGTGGATAGGGTCCACACGCTTAACACGGGCTCATAGTTCAAGATGGATGGAACCAGTCTCACGGCCTTAATGTGTTCACCATCAACATGTTCAATACTTTTGCGTAGAAAAAAGGATTATGATGGCTTCATTCTTGTTTTCATCTTACTGAGTCTTGTTTTCTTCCTACTGCCTATTGATACATAAATGTAAATTCAGCCACACGTTGTAATTTGTAAATGAGCATAGGATGCGGTCTATTTTAGCTCTAATCAGTGGAAAAATTATAATTTCCTCAATATTCTGTCTATCAGACTTCATTCTTAGATCTTACTAAACATGAAAAATGTGCCTCGGTCATAATTTTATGTAATGCTTATATTGTTTTTTGATTGTGAAGGTTTGGTGGCAAATGGTGATTTCGAGACAGCACCATTGAACGGCTTCCCAAGCGAGGCAATATCAGATGGGCCCACGGAGATCCCCAGCTGGATAACAAAAGGCAGAGTGGAGCTGGTGTCGTCTGGAGATAAAGTGAGCGGAGGGATGATCCTCATCGTGCCTCGAGGCTTGAAAGCCGTTAGATTGGGGAACGACGCCGAAATCAGCCAGGAACTGACGGTGGATAAAGGCTCCACATACGCAGTCACATTCAGTGCTGCACGCACGTGCGCGCAACTGGAGTCATTGAATGTGTCCGTGCCACCCGCATCACAGACGGTAGACCTCCAGACATTATACAATGTGCAAGGGTGGGACCCTTACTCCATTTCTTTCGAGGCGGAGGAGGATAAAGTGCCCTTGATTTTTAGGAACACTGGCATGGAGGATGACCCAGAATGCGGGCCCATCATTGATGATATTGCCATAAAAAAACTCGTAGCCCCTGATAAGCCCAAAGGTAATAATGGAAAAAAAACTGCAATTTCTGTCTTTTTATCAATTTCATTCTCTTTTCTTTTTCGTCTATGAGAATATGTTTGGTCCCATTAAACGTGCGAAGTCTGTAGTAATCGATACGCAAAGCAGTTCATCAATGTACCATTTTCCTCGCCAAGAGTAGAATCGATGTTAAGTTTATGGTCCTGACTAGTGTGGTATATACGGGAAACGGTATTTACTTTTGTATTTTTCTACATCTGGAAGAACCAGAATGAATGCTCTGAGGAAGGGGCATACATAAATTCTAATTATAATTATGTTTTTCTGATCACGTTATTGATTGCATTTATTTTTGTTTCATGTTTTATTCAGACAATGCAGTAGTTAATAGCGGCTTTGAATTTGGCCCTTGGATGTTCCAGAATGTATCTCTTGGTGTCTTGCTCCCAACCAACCTTGACGAAGAGACATCCCCGTTACCGGGATGGATGGTCGAATCAATCAGGGCAGTCCGATACATTGATTCCAACCATTATGCAGTCCCAGAAGGCAAACGTGCTGTCGAGTTGGTCTCGGGCAAGGAAGGCATCATTTCTCAAATGGTGGAAACCAAACCAGATAAACTATATAGCTTGACCTTCTCTTTGGGGCATGCTAGGGATAAATGCAAGGAGCCACTGGCTGTTATGGCGTTCGCAGGGGACCAGGCACAAAATTTTCATTACACGACCGACTCTAACTCCACCTTCCAGGTTGTCAGTGTGAACTTCACAGCCAAGGCAGAAAGGACACGAATCGCGTTCTACAGTGTGTATTACAATACAAGGACTGATGACATGAGCTCGCTGTGTGGTCCGGTGGTGGACGATGTTCGGGTCTGGTTTTCACGGTCCAGTACAAATGAGGTCCGAGCAGTGTTAGGGCTTGGACTTGCCTTTTGGGTTTATCTTATGGTTTTGGTTTAGAGTTGGGACCTTAAGTAAATGGTACATTTATGCTTTCCTTACATATGTAACGTTTTAAGGCCCAAAAAAAATCTAGGGGTGGGTTAAGAAGGCATGATAATGCTAGCAAAAATCTAAAATACTTTTAAGGTTTTTGTAATGTCATCTTCCTTGTGAGCTTTGGTCTGATAAATGAGAATGGATTAAGTTGCATTTTCTGTATTTCTTTTTGAAACTTGATTTGAATTTAAAGTTTTATTTAAGCCTTGACCCATTTTGAGAAATAAAAATAAATTAATAATTAACATTGCAAATATTTAATTTATATAAAGAAATTAAAATAATAGAGTGTATATTCAGATCTAAATTAAAAGAAAATAAGAATAAGAAAAACGACAACATTTATGTTACCGTCCAAAGACAACACTTTGAAAGAAAACTAGAGAATGAATTTAGAGAGAAAACTTAAACTCAAATATATTTTAGTTCAAATAATAACAACAATTATAATAATAGTTGAAATGTTTAAATTATACATCTTTTATATTTTAGGTGCTTAAACTTATTTTAGTTAATATACGTGGTTAATGTTTTTGATGTTATTATTTTAAGTATCTGATTCGTCATGTCCGTTAAAATGATATCATCAACCACTCAAAATGTGACATATGACGACATTTGTAAATTTTAAAAAATATATATATTTTAAAATTTTAATTTTTTTTCTCAAAAAAACACGGGGAAAATCTCTAAAATCTCAAAATCTTTAATTTCAAAGTTTCAACCTCACTTGTCGTCGACCCTACCATTGTCGCTTACCCACCTATCATCGATCGTCACCCGTAGTCTTAATCCCACTATCCAAACCTTAAAGTCCTAAGGGTGTGTTTGGTTGAGGGAATGTGAAATTCCCATGGGAATGGAATCCACATTCCCCCGTTTGGTTGGCCGGGAATGTTATTCCCGATAATTTTACATTACCAATAGTGGATTTTTTTGGTATATTACCGGAAATATCATTACCTCCATTTCCTCAGGTATTGTTGGATTACCAACGTTTTGGACTAAAATGCCCTTAAAAAAAATTTTTCAAAAAATATTCTTATTCTGTCATTGAATAATAAAAATTCTACGAATGTTAAATTACAAATTTATCCTTAAACTATTTTAGATTTACAAAAAAAAACTATAATTAAAATTTTATATGAAGTTTAGGGGTTAAAATAAAATTTTATCCTTTTATTAAACCTTTTTATATTTTCAATTTTGTAAAAAAATTATATAAACTTTATGAATTTAAATTTTTTAAAGAAAACATATAAATATTTTCCATCTTGTAAAAAAACAAATATATAATAAGAACAATTTGGTCAAATATACATTCCAATAATCATTTATTCCTTTAATCAAACACGATAATCTTACATTCATGCTAAACCAACCAAACACAAAATACAACATTCTCAATAATCATATTCTCTGGTAATCTTTTTATTCTCACTGATAATCTTACATTTTGTGAACTAAACGCACCCTAAATCTTAAGACACACATCCATCTCAATAAATGGATGAAAAAGGTGACCGCCAAGGGTGAAGGTGGTCGATAATAGAGTTAAAGGATATTTTGGAGTTCTATGATTTTCAGGATATTTTATGAAAAATAACATAAGTTTGATTTTTAAAAAAGATTTATGAATTTTATTTAAAAAACGTTAAAGGAAATGAAAATTTGGTCATAGATTAAGTATTGATTGAATGATAGATTTTTATCGAATTTATTTAAGAACAATGACAGATCAAATATTTAGATGGTAATTTTAAAAACTTTTTACACTAAAAATAAATAAATACTTAAATGAGAAAATATATAATTTGATTATTTTCATTTTAAATTAAGGAGTTGAAAATATAAATGATTAAATTAGAATTTGACCCAAACACCCTTGAGTTGGCTCTTATTTAAATTCACCGCGTCATTTTCAAGCTAACGGACGAAACAAGAGGGGAGGAAAAAAACAAATAAAAAGAGGAGATCCCATCTCAGTTGTCCGAAGAAGATGATCATAATCACGACATGAGCAAGGCCAGGATCAGAATAAGGTGGCCTCTTAGGTGTCCTCACTAATTATCTCTAAACAAGTTTATTAATCAGGCATGAACACCAATTTTTCTGTATTGGATTGTTGTATTGTTGAAATCTAAACCCTAGAATGCCTTCTTATTATTCCATTTACTTGTTCTTCTTTTTGTGTCGTTCTTTTGGATAAATCATTTTATCGTCAATTCTTTATTATTATATTCATGTTTTAGCCTGTGGAATATTATTGTAGCGATGAAAACTTATTTAAGTATATGATGAGTATGATTAAGAAGAACTAAGAAGATTTTGACAAATAATTACATTCCTCAATTGATTTGAGGATTTTGACAAATAGTTGTTAGCATTAAGAATGTGGTGTGCTTATACCATCCCTTAAAGCTTGTAGACTTGTTGATTTTGCTACGTGAAAAAGAGCATTGACCTCTTCATTCACGAACAGGATAGAATTATTGTGCCAATATAGATATCGAAATGTCACCCGGATCTCAAATTTTAACATCATCGATTGAAGATTTAAGAAAGTGGAGTTGGATTTGACTTTTAAGTATCTTATGGATGAAATACAAATGAATCAGAGAAAGATCAGTTTTGATTAGAATCCATGTACGAGTTACATGGTAAGAGCTTCGTAACTGGGTCCAAATGTTTTTCAATTCATTTATCTTGACAGTGTTTATTAAAACAGTAGAAACGGGTATTGTCTTTCCACTGTCACACCTCAATTTAAGGCCTATTTTTTTAAAAAAATAATTAATTTTAGGGATTAAATTAAAATTTTAATTAAATTTGGGGATCAAAGTGAAATTTTAATTAAATTTGAATCTAAATTCAGAAAGTAACTAAAACTGAAGAACTCTTATGAATTATATCATTTTTCATAAATGTGGGTTTAAAAGCACTAAAACAAAAAACTTTTCATTTCCGGAAAGTTTAAACATTTCTTCTCTCTCTTCAATATTTCCTTTTTAGTAGGAAATCTTTAATAGACGTTTTGTTGTCGATAGTTATACTGTTTCGACCCCTTTTGCATCATCGTGTTCTTTATGTCATCTCGATTCCACTAATATCCGCTTTGTCTCCGTTGCCTCTCACTTGTGAAGGGGTGAGGAAAGTCAAGTTTTCTACATTGCGAAATCAAGCTCTCCGCCATTCACCGTTGCGAACCGAACTTGGTAAGTGTCTCAAAACCCCTTAAAATGCATACAGCAATTTTTATGAAATTTTTAAGAGCCCTGCCGCTCTGTCGCTGCGTGTGGGGAATGACCACCGCATGGTGGACTTCTAAAAATGGGTTGACTCGACCTGCCTGCCCAATCCAACCCACCTGACATCCACATATCAACTCGTATGACCCAAGCCCAAATCATCCCAATCGAATCAAACTGAACCGGTCCAGCCCGAACTGAACTGGGTCAACCAATGACCGCCGTTGATCGTATGAATCTCACTGATGGTGGATTCATATTATACTGATATATGAATTTCAACACTATTTTAAAAATGAAAAGAACTTCTGAATACGATACGTGACTGACTAAATTTGATCATAACGTCCAGGCCGGGTCTAGGGGTTACATATTGTGCCTTGTATATTACTCACATCTCCACCTCTACGTCGTTATGAGGATTTCTAGTATATATTATATCTGAATTTTGAAATTTCCGTTAAAGAAAGTAGATGATGAGGACAGTATTCCATGCGAGAGGAATAAATTGCATGGTCCAACAACCAACTGGTAAATTAGTTAGGTTGAAACTTGAAATCTATCATAAACATTGACCTATAAGACCCTTTCCCCTATCATGTGGCGTATGCAGAAGAGATAGCTGGTATTGTTGTCTTTTCCAAAATACCTTGTGAAGTGATTAGTTAATCTAAAATTAAAAGCTAAATCGTACATAAAATTTGTTTATGCCTTTCTTTTTAATAGAGAATATCCAACCCGGAATTTTTTTTAAACAATAAAATATATAATTATACTATTGAATAAAGATGGAGGCGATGAAGTACAGAAGGTACTTATGACTGGTCTCGGCCTTGATGCTCTCCTGATGCAACATATTTGTATTGTGCTGAACATCTGAGGGGTTATTGATTGTTGGACTAAATGAATACACAACTTCATACTTTTTTGTTTTTTTCTCTATTCTTATAGTTTCAATTTCACATATTGGCACATATAGTTGCGTGAAGGGATAAGAAATTCGTGTTCTTATCACCAAAAGGACATGATTCCTTAGGGATAGAGCTCTTGAGTAACTGTAACAAAGGTTGTTTAGTTAGAACTAACCTTTTTAGAGTTTTTCTTGCTGAATTAGATCTGCCCATCTAGTACAATTGAGCATGAGGTTCATTGTAGTTCATAATGTTTGATAGTTCATGACATACTAGAAAGTTGCAAGTAGTGTTGTTCTTTGTTATCAATAATTGCATCTCCTTTGATAGTCAAATTTCTGAAACTAGTAGTTCTTATTTATTACCTGTAAATATTTGATTTAAAATATATTTCCAATGAATATTTGTTATCAATTAGTTAAGAAAAATTTAAATAGACATTATTTTATAGATACCCACCCAAATTACTAAAAAAAAATTACTCAACCTTCGAAAGGAAAAAAGGATATATGGTTCATGCGTTGTTTTCCAAGCTATTCCAATTAATATGTTTGGGCCTGGTTGTACCTTGTGGTCCAAAATCAGTCGTACGAACACCGGTTCAGCCAACTTGAAATCCAATGGATTCAGATGTCTTCTTCACTCTCTCAAAGGGCGCGTCGCTCTGAACCCTGACTGGCAGCCTCCCTCCACGGTTCAGTTTTGACAATTATTTTTTTGTCATTCTGGAATTCCCTCAAATGAAATCAACAGTTCTTGTGTGTGCGTGTTCTTGGTTCTAAAATAGACATGGCATCTCAACATTTCTCTCCTTCGGGACTCTCTCGATTACCTGAACGACGCACCTTTGTCCCCGTTTTATTTCGCCTCCCGTTCCTTTCATCTTCTCGGTTTCGCGCTGCTGCTTTAAGTTTCTACTCTCCTCTTAAATTACAGTTAAAACGATCCCAAAATGTACAAAAGCGAAGTCGACAAATTCGTCCCCACGTCGTTAAGGTTAACGCCACCAATGATGATGTAAGTAATCTGCTGCTTCCCAATGTGGTATTCGGAATGAATTTTATTCCGTTATGATTGGAATTTTGTTGTATTTTCTAGGATTCAATGGGAATTTCCTCTTTTGATGACTGGGTGATTGATGATTCGGTGGCGGCATATGTGTTTTCTTCATCCAGTGATGGGGAATATAGCGATGGAGAAACCGTGTTAAGTCCTTTGGATGAGGTGGATTTGCCTTCAGTCTCCGCTGATGATTCTGTAACCATGAGGTCCTTGACTTCCCGTCGGTATTCCTTGCTTGGTAGAAGCCAAAAGAAACACAGGCAAGCTCTTTTAGAAATTAGCTGACCCAGTATGCTTCAAGTATTTAGTATTTGTATAAACAAATTAATTGTTTTGCGGGACGCTTCATGAATGAATACACTTTCCAAGGCTTTTTGTTGATAGTTTGCCTAAATTAATTTCAGGATAAACGTTGGGCTGTTAAGCAACTTGGTTATCATAATCTTCCTGGCAATGGTTCTTTTACTTGTTGATTGGTGTGGATGGAAAATTGTGAGGCTACCCCTGGCACCATTTTACTTGACCTCCCCATTTACCATATCTTTGGTCTTAGCAGCATGTGCAGGTTACATTTGTATACCATATCTTAAGACTCTCGAGTTACATCAAATAATCAGGAAAGAAGGTCCTGCTAATCATTCAAAAAAGCAGAGGACCCCGACGATGGGTGGACTTTTCTTTCTACCAGTTGGTATATTTGTTGCAAACTTTGTTACGGGTTTCTCTTCTGTTGAAGTTGCAGCAGCAGCAGCAGCAACCTTAGCATTTGCTACAATTGGACTGATTGATGATGTCTTATGTGTCATCAAGCAACACAGCAGTGGTTTATCTCCTCGTTTAAGGCTACTTTTGGAGGTAGCTCATTGTTGCTTGCTTCTTTCTTTGATCATTTATGGTTCATCCTTGTTACCACAATAAGTTTCTTTTTATCCCAGTTGTTACACTAATTTCTAATTGTTTATCATTACAGGCTGCTGTTGGAATTTGCTTTTCATTTTGGTTGAATGCTACAACTTTGTTGTCACCCTATGGCATGTATATCTTCTTGTAACTAATCTTATCACATTTATTTTATCTTATGGTTACTTGCATTCCTTTTCTTGTGCCAAAAATTAAAGTTTCTTTTATCTAGTTTAGTTAATTTGCTATTTGGGGGGGGAAAAAATTTAGGTTCTCCTGTTCTTATTGAAGTTCTCTGATGGAAAACCATGTTATACATTCCATTGTTCTTTATGTAAGATATTATAACCTTTTTTTTCTATCTTAAAATATATAACAAGAATATTTTAACAATAAAGTTCCTTCTAGTGAAGGAGAAATATCATTACACCAGCTTTTAGGCGGAATTTTAGCAGTTAGCTGGATGAATCTCAATATGTGTGTGTCAGCTCTCTCTCTCTCTCTGTCTCTATCTTTCTCTTAGATTATTCTTTTTCTTGCCGATCAAGCAGTCTTTAATAAATGATTGCTTATAAGTAAAACTTGGATTGGTCTTTCACATTTCTCCCGGTTGCTTCAATTCCTGCCCACTTTAGTCTAACTTTTAAAGACTACTAGTTATTTTTGCTCAAATGTCCTGTTGGCTTTCCTCAAGACCATTTTATTACTTCTTGATGTAGGAAAATGGTGGTTCCTCTACCTGCACCACTGGGCCTTGTGTGTTTTGGAAAATTGTACCTATTGTTGACTCCATTTTGTTTTGTTTCCATGGGAAATGGGGTTAACCTAACTGATGGTCTTGATGGTCTTGCTGGAGGGACTGCTGCATTAGCCCTTATTGGGATGACAATTGCAGTTCTTCCAATATGCCCTGGTTAGTATGGATTTGGTTTGAACAAGTAATATTATTAGATGGAAGAAATGTGCGGAATTTTCTGAGAGTTGAGATAGACCAGCATAGCTTTTTGTTGGTCTCACATACTTTAAAGTTTATCTATTGGTCATTGCAACAATAACATTATTTAAGTCACATAATTGCACTTTTGAGCTGCTGCTTCATCTGAATGAAATGCTAGACATATTTTAAAGCTTACTATTGGAATTTCGTTGATGATTTCTTTGGCCTCTTCTATTATCTTCCATCTTATCTTAATATTAAAATGTTATGTTGCAATTGCCAGTTCTTCCATCTTAGTGAAACACTAAGGGTCGTCTTGGTATGAAGGATAGTAAAACTTAAGGATGGAATTTTTTTTAATCTAATGATTAAAGCTTCAAAGTAGGAAAGTGGTTATGAATATCAACAATTTGATTATCAAAATTTCCATCCCCTTTTATTCCCATTCTTCATACCAAGAAGAGCCTAAAATTTGGTTTTGAATTTCAATCTTCTTATATGCTTTTGCAATAATTTACCTTGCTGTCATTTGTTGTATCCCTATTCAACACTAAATGTTATTTTCAATCCCAATCAGCACTTGCCATATTTGGAGCATCAATGGCTGGGGCCTGTGTTGGTTTTCTTTTGCACAACCAGTACAAAGCATCTGTATTTATGGGTGATATTGGATCCTTGGCCCTTGGTGGTGCATTAGCTGCAATGGCTGCTTGTACAGGAATGTTCTTTCCCTTAATCATTTCATCTGGTATATTTGTGTTGGAAGCATCATCAGTCATTCTGCAGGTATACTTTGTCCGTTAAACATTTGATTCTTTGTCCTCTTTTGTTGAAATTCGTGCAAATACCAATGTGTGAACTTTGCATCATAATACGTCAGTCTCAGTCGCTTCTAATAATGATTCGTGAATCAATATTAATTCCAACCACATGCTGCTTTCACAGATACGTAACTGACTCTCTTATTTGTTAGGTATTATACTTCAAAATAACAAAGCAAATGCATGGAAGTGGGCAGCGCCTGTTTAGAATGGCACCTTTCCATCACCATCTGGAATTAAGTGGGCACAAAGAACCAGTGATTGTTGCCGGCGCATATGCCGTATCCTATGTGTTGGCTTTATTTGCTGGTTACATAGGCCTTGTGTCAGCATAATGTCTGTCATCATTTGCATCCATCTTCATTTTGTTCTCTTAGTTATAGTCATAGTCGGTATTCCCTTCTCCTTAATATTTCTGCAACTGGCATTCGTTCCGTTTATGTTTCCTCCATTAAGCTGTGTTAATCAAGCTTAGATATGAGTGTCAGATATGGATGTGTCTAACACGATTTCTGACTATTCTTTTTTAGATATTTCTTCACGTTTCTGGAAGGTCGTATCTCTATATTCTCATCCGAATTTGCGTTCGAAACAATTGTTGGACACAGATATTTCAAGAAGAAAATAATAAAGATTGAGGGCAACATAGTTATAGAGGTAGGAATAGATGCATGCGTCCACACACAAGTTTTAACATAGATAGCCTTAGACTGTGAGCCTTATTTACTGTTCTAGAAGTTCTTCAGTTCATGTAGTCGGAGCCATCTTTTTAATTATTTCACAAGTCCAAGATTTTATTCCCCACCTCATTTTGACTTCATTTATTTGTTTTATCATACTCGAATTTTATATCTGAAATTTGGTCACGTGTTTAGTGCGATAAGTGAACTTTGATGTTGAAATTGAAAAGATATTGAGCTTTAATTAAATTAATAATGTTTAGTTATTTATCCAGTGAAAAAATCCAATCATATGTGTGAGGCATTTCACATGTTGGTTAGAATCATCTGGTTGTCTACGCTGTCGGTTTCGTTGTCAATGTTGTTTCGTGGTATTTGGATTTTTCAAAATTAATGACATTTCTATTGATTTTTCATTGTTCGGATTTCAATCAAGCCACACAATGACTCCAGTCCACATACCCTATAATCATTAAACTTAAATACAACACCCGAGACATATTGTATATGTATGAGAATTGCCATTTATACGCTCGAACTCAGGTTCCAGATAATGTTTATTTTTTGAACATGACTTGTCCAGCGATAACGATTATCCTAATTACAATATTCATAATTGATGATAATGATAGAAATGGCGAAAATGCCTGCTTAAAATTCCTACATGCTTTGTTTTCTACCTTCTTATTTTTATATATATATATTCATAATTGATGATAACGATTATAAACTAAAAATGTATATCTCATAATATATATATTTTTATAAAAGTGAAATGCATCTAAAAATAAATAAGATTTCTACAAATATATATGTTTCTATAATCGTAAATTTTATGAAATTTTGAAACTTTCTGATTGCAATGTATTAGGAAATCTATAATAGATTAACTTAGAATTAATCTATGATTGAGCCGTTAAATAACAATTAATCTTTAATAGTTAACCGTTTCTTAATAATTAGTAAAATTTAATAACCGTTATGACGGTTAACCGACCGTTAAAATTAAAAGATATGGTTAGCCGACCATACCATAAACACCGTGTAACTAACTAACGAGAAAATAAATCAATAATTTAGGTATAAATAAACTAGTATAAAAATAACAGTTTGATTTCATGTGCTTCCTAGCAATTTAATTAATTTTTCATTTTTCATAAATTTTTTGAGAATTCATAAGTAGACCGGTTGAAACTTAAGACGAGCAAAAAAATTAGTCCCATTTGACTATTATGATTGGCTGGGTTTCTAGAGAGCCGTCAATTGGTGCATAACTAAATGTTTCATGATCCTAACTTTAACTCCACCGACTTGAACCACGACTACCCTAGTTTATATCTAACTAGCGTTTAGCAAATTGTAAGAGCCTTGCTTTTCTTAAATATACAACTTTTACAGAAAGTTCGAAAAGCTCAGTTGCTTTTTCTGTCCATGTTCGACCAAGCCTTATTCAAGGAAAATAGTGGGAACAAAAAAGAAAATTTAGTGATTTAGGTTAAAAGTTTTAAATTAGTCCTATTTAGTAAAATTAATTCTAAATTAAATTCCATATCAATAACTTTAAAAATTCATCCTATAAAAATTTATTGAATGATTTATTAATAAAAGATGATATTGTTCTTCTTAAAGGTCTTAAATTTAAACAATTTTAACCATATAATATATGTTTTTAATAATTATAAAAGATACTACACATATTATTTTATAATTATTATAAATTATTAAAAAGATAACCTATAGTTTTAGTGAAGAACTCTTCATATGAACTAATCCGAAGCAAAGTATCTTTGAATACGGTGTAATAAGCCCTTGTCTTGTTCATCATTAATCATGCTATAAGCAATGGTGTGGATCAATGGACGATGAGAAAAGGTGTTAGTTTCGCCAATATGCTCCGCAACCATGGATGATACTGTTCAGATATATTAAGTGCATGAGCCGCAAGGAGATTAAAGAGAGTTGCAGAAGACCATGACAAATGAAGACAAAAAAACATTTCTTCAGCAACATCTTTCTTTATTGTCCTCCATGACGACCTCCTCAGAGTTTCCACAGTTTAATTTAAACTTTTACTCTTTTAATTTTTAAAAAATTAAATATCAAATAAATCTATAGTATTATTTTGAACGCAGCCCGCTCTAATTTGAAGGGTTTGTCTGAAACAAAATAAGCTGACAATGCCACGTCAACACCCACTTTTGTTTGTGCCAGCTGGACTTCAACTCGTCTCTCATTTTCTGCCGTCCTATTTATACCTCCCCTCCGTCTTTGGCGACTCTCTCTGCGTTGCTTTCTCTCCGTCTCCATTCAAACTAAAATCCAAATTGTAATAAAACTCTGTAAATCCACATTTACATGAACGAAAAGCTTCTTTGAATTGGATTTCAATAGCTTGACCCTTCTATATAAGCCCTTCTTCCGCCTTGCACGTTTTCCAGCTTCCAGAAAAATGATTTCTTTCTTATCCTTTCTTTCGCCTTTGGCTCCATTTTTGGCCACCCTTTTGCTTCTTGTCCTTGTCTTAGAACAGATCTCCTACATGCGCAAAAAGCGAAATGTCCCTGGTCCAAACATGGTTCTCCCTTTCTTCGGCAACGCCATTCCATTAGTGAGGGAACCCACTAGATTCTGGGAAATTCAAGCTGACTTGGCTTCTTCCGTCGGATTCTCTGTTAACTACATCATCGGCAGATTCATCCTCTTTATCCGTAACACTGAACTCTCTCACCTTATCTTCGCCAACGTCCGACCCGATGCTTTTTTACTTGTTGGACATCCGTTCGGGAAAAAGCTTTTCGGCGAACATAACTTGATTTATAAGTTCGGACAAGATCACAAAGATCTACGCCGTCAGATTGCTCCTAACTTCACTCCCAGATCTCTGTCAACCTACACCGCTTTGCAGCAGATTATTATTCTCGAACATTTAAAATCGTGGGAGCGTCTTTCATCCGAATCGCGGGGAAAGCCGATTCCTCTCCGTCTTTTAGCTCGTGATATGAATCTGGAAACTTCTCAAACTGTTTTCGTCGGCAGGTATTTGTCAAATGAAGCTCGCGCCAAGTTCAAAGACGATTATAATCTTTTCAATACGGGTTTGATGAAGCTTCCGTTTGATCTCCCCGGTTTCGCGTTCCGTAACGCTAGGCTTGCCGTTGAGCGCTTGGTCGAAACGCTAACTGATTGCGCTGCTGAAAGTAAAAAGAGAATGTTCCAAGGAGACGAGCCTTCTTGTTTAATCGATTTTTGGATGCAAGAAACTGTTAGAGAAACCGCCGAGTCCAAAACGGCGCCGTCTCACTCTTCCGACAATGAAATCGGTAGTTATCTCTTTGATTTTCTCTTCGCCTCTCAAGACGCCTCCACTTCATCGCTCCTCTGGGCGGTGTCCCTCCTCGACTCTCATCCCCAAGTTCTCCAGAAAGTTCGTGAGGAAGTTTCGAGTATATGGTCGCCGGAATCAGATGCTTTGATAAGCGCGGCGCAAATCAGGGAAATGAAATATACACAAGCGGTGGCACGTGAAGTCATAAGGTATAGGCCGCCGGCGACGCTAGTGCCTCACATTGCGGTGAAGGATTTCCCGTTGACCGAGTCGTACACGATTCCCAAGGGCACGATTGTGTTCCCCTCGGTTTACGAGTCATCCTTCCAAGGGTTCACTGAGGCGGACCGCTTCGATCCGGATCGGTTCTCGGAGGATCGGCAAGAGGAGGTGATATTCAAGCGGAACTACCTGGCATTTGGCGCTGGGCCTCACCAATGCGTTGGTCAAAGGTACGCCTTGAATCATCTGGTGCTTTTCATTGCGATGTTTGTTTCGGTGCTAGATTTCAAGAGGCACCAATCACATGGCTGCGATGAAATCATGTACTGCCCGACCATCTGTCCTAAAGACGGGTGCAGCGTCTCCCTATCTCGGCGATGCCCACGTTATCCGAATCTCTCTTCTAATTGACCAAAAAGCCCTTCAATGTTTGTCCGTCTTCTTATCTGGTAAACTGGTGCTGTCTTGGGGGTTCCTGCTTCGGTTATAATTCTTTTGTGTGGGCCGTTATTGTGTATATACAACTGATGGACGGCTCGGATAATTTCTTCTCTCTTTTGTTTTTCATTTTATTGGAGAAAATTGGTTGTGGGGATTATTGATTGTGTTTTAGACCTCAAATTTAAAAAACTTGTATTTTGAAATTTTAATTTAATTGTATTTTATTTAACATTGTGAGCTAAGATAGGTTGTTTGTGATGAGAGTCACATGGGTAAGTTCAAAAAGAAGTCCTCCAAATATTATTTGGTTGCAATAATTACTATATCTATTAAGTACCGAGGGTAATCCTGTAAAAAATATTCATAAACTTTACTAACAATACCAGTAGTTTAAGAGAGCTTGTTCGAATGATTATGCGTATCGTATCTTTAGAAAGGGAAATTCACATTTTAGGTAAAAATGATTACAATTCAAGGTCTGAAAATATTTCCCTAAGCGTTTACAAATTTAAAATTAATTTATTTTTTTAATAGAAGTCTTGGTTTCATTTAAAAAAAGTATTTAAAATTACAATGAAGGTTTACAACTAAATTATAAAATAAAAATATAATTAGGCTTTTTTATAACCAAAAAGAGAAGTAAAAATTTGATATAAGAAAATAAGCGTAAAAAAAGAAAAATCAACGATCCACAATGCGCACTAAATTTTTATTTGTAAATTAATTTAAAGTTTAAAGTTTATCCAAATCAATTTATAACATAAATAAAATCATATTTCTTCTAACAACAATTAGGTATCAAACTAGAAAAGCATACTTTAAGAGGTCATTTGTCAATTAAGCCAAAATAATACTAAATGTTGCGTAGAAGAAGATGAAACACTACACTAAGTGAAGGTATTGTATTAAGGGGAAATTATAAATCTTTAAGGGTTAGACTATAATTGATAAATGAAGAGAAAAAAGATGAAGGGTCGCTTCTTCGCAAAGGAGGGTTGGAGCTTCACAAAGGTGGGAAGCCGATTCGTTGAAGAAGGTCACAGGTTGGCTTTGAAGGGTAGCAACTTCTCAAAGGAGGGAAGAGTGAGAATCGTTCGTAGGCTGGGTGTTGCGGTGTTCGTTGACAACGTCAGCAAAAGAGACCACCATGCAGAACTAAGAGAGTTTTTTCAAGCATTTGGCACAGTCTTTGGATACATACGTTGCCCATTGGAATGAAAGAAGGAGATTAAAGAAGACTGCATTTGCCTTTGAAAGATTCAAGAATATGAAGTTTGGAGTGAGAGCTTTTTCCATGAAATTGGTAGCAGATGGGGGTCTGTTTTGAACGTGGCCGTAGAAACTCGTAACTGAATTCGTTTTGATGAAGCAAAGATTTTGGTGTCAGTTCAAAAGGAGTCCGTCATTCCAGACAGATTGTATGTTAATATCAATGGTTGTATTTCAAAAATTAAACTGAATGTTGAGATGTTCGAAGATGACAGGATTTTCATCGATGGAAGCTCACCGTTCACCGCGGGCTAGGAGATCGGGGATGATGAGTAGGTTAGCATTCCAGATTGCGACGGTGTTGACAAAGAAATTGATCGGAACGAGGTATTAAATGAGCATGCCATACAGGAAAAATATTAAAATAATTCCAGCCGCAATGAAAACTGGGTGTCAGAGTCGGGGTCTGACTCCTCACAGAAGGACGAAAGGCTCAATCAGGTGGAGCAAAATAACCACAGTAATAATGATTTGTATGAAGTGCCGGTGCTATCTAGTAGTGAGCCTATCAACATAGCTGAAAACGCTGATTGTGTTCACCCCATCAACATAGCTGTAAATATAAAGGATCCTTGTTCTACTGAAATGATTAAAAAAAGAATTGAAGAAGTGGAAGCCTCTCTATTGAGTTATGGTCTGAACAATGATGCTGTTAAAGAGTTGAAGCATCTTAAAACTGCTTTACGAACCAAGGTAAGGCGGGAGGGGAGGGAATTGTTGCAGAAGTCTAGACTGAGGTGGTTCAAAGCTGGCGACTCTCAGAGGTAATAGCAATCTTATCTCATCGATACCGGTTGGGAATGAGGTAATAGAGTATCCAAAGAAAATTTCCAAGTTTTTTGAGAACCATTTCCGGTAATGTTTTAATAAATCGAATACACTACCGATCAAAAGCCTTGGAGTATCATTTAAGAAGCTGGAAGTGGCTGCTAAAAAATCAATCGAAATTCCTTTTTCAGAAGAGGAAGTGTGGTCTGCAATTAACTCAGCTGAGGGGGATGGAGCTCCAGGTTCGGATGGTTTTAATCTTGAGTTCTACAAGAAGTTTTGGGTGCACTTGAAAAAGAAATCATGGATTTTAATCGAATACACTCGTCTTGGTTGTGGAAAACTATTACTTCTCCTTTAGTCAAGGTTGACGATTTGTTTTCCATAAATCTGAAACTGTCTGTTGGGGAGGAAACTGGATTGAATTTTGGGATGATCGGTGGACTGAAGTTCCATCTCTAAAGGAGGCTTTCCCAAGGATTTACCAGGTAGCAGTAAAAAAGAATGGCAAAATATGTGAGTTTGGTGTTAAACTCAATGGTGTTTGGAGCTGGAATATTGAAATCAAAAGATCTCTATTCGAATGGGAGAAGGGCATTTGGGTTGAGTTTATTAATACCTTAAAAACCGTCCCTGACCTTTGCCTTTAATTGCATCTAACCATGTGAGAGAGGGGCCTTGCCTCAATTAAGATGTTGTGTATAGCATTTTAATTTCCCAAGCAACCTCAACAGTGTTAGCTCAACTAACCAATAAAAATAGTCAACGGCCTCGTTGTTTTTGGGGTCCTCCAAGGTCCAAACGGGCAGATGGGCATTTGGCAAATCGCACGCCAAAATTTGCAGCCGAAGAATTTGAATGGTGTCTGAATCCTGCAAAGAAAGATTAGTTTGAATGGTGGATGGTTGATGCATGTTTGACACATACAGGCACCGTCGTAGATGAATCTAAGGGGAATAATTGGGAACAAGCGTCTTTCTGAAAATTTCAAAATCTTATATGTTTAAGATATTTTTTTTGTATTTTATATCTAAAATTTGTATTTATCTCTTAAAACTTTACAAGTTCAACTCTACTTAAAATTTTATAAATTTATCTTTTCTAATATAGATTCTTACGTCGGCACTTATTCACCACGTAAGTTTAATGGTTCTAAGACCAAAATTATCTCTTTCTCCCATGACAATGTTTGTTGACTACTCCCAACTCTGTCAGCGAAATTAATAAGCAAAATCTTGAAAGTCTGCTATGTTCCTTCCCCCACATAAATAATTCATTGTGAAAGAAAAAGTAATCCATTGCTCTTGGGGTGACCCGTAACCATCAACCGCTACTTTTACCATATTCATTAAATTTTATGTAATCTCTGACGACTTAAATTCTTGAGAACAGAGCAGAATTGCAGATGAAGCATTCTATGAGTTCAGAAGCTCTTTGAGCTGAATAACTGAGCAACGTACAGATCCTCTTCCACACAGAAGAAAAATACAAACAAAAACAACATTTCTTCGTTGTTTTTTTTTTTGTTAAACTTCCAAAGAAAACAGACAAAATTTACAATACTCAATAATCATTATACGCCTCTGGAAACGGTTGAAATATATACAGTTTATTACACGACTGAGTCTGTGTGCTAATGTCGGGGAACCCAACCTTATTCATTGGCTCTGTCTAACGTATATAATAGCCTTATTCCCTTTCCAACATGGTTTTTAGAACCGGATCAGTTAGCGAACCGGCCATGTTATCGGTTCACTGGTTCAATCCGTTGAATCAATCCGACCAATCGGAAGAACCGGACGACGTCATAATTATTTAAAAAAATAAATAAAAATACAAAATATATTTAATAAAAAATATTTTTTTTATATCATAAGTCATATTCAAAGCAATTCATAACATATATAAGTTAAAAATCATAAAATCAAGTGAAACAAAATGATTTAAATTAACTACAACATAATATTTAAGGTAAAACATATTAAATAATAAATATAATTATATAACTATAATTAAAAAAAATTTGGGGCTAAAAAAATCATAACAAAATGATATTGTTTGGTTTAATTTAAAAAAAACAATCCACATGACTAAGAAACATAGAAGAGCATCTCAAAAGTCTAAAGAATAAAAATATGAGAACAAAACAATCTCACATGGCTAAGAAACATAAAAGAGCATCCTAACTAACTTCTATAAATAATAGAGGTAATTTGACATTCAAAATCATAGAGCCTTTTAGGGCTGAGCAACGAAACCGAGAAATCCGAAAAACCGACACGAACCGAGTAAAACGGTTCGGTTTGGTATGGCTTTAAACGGTTCGGTTTTAGGTTCGATTTAAAGGCTTCATTTTTTTGATTCGGTTCGGTTCGGGTTTTCCATATGGAACCCATTTGTTCCATATTAAACCGAATAGACAATTTTTGTAAAAAAAATTATAGTTTCAAGTGATTCTTTTTATTGAAAAACCGATAAATCGAATCGAACCGAACCGAAAAACCCGAACCGTTAAAAAAATTGAACCGAACCGAAAAAACCGATTTCGGTTTTTTCGGTTTTTTAACTATTCGGTTTCGGTTTATATATTGAAAACCCGTTTATTTCGGTTCGGTTCAATTTTTGGTAAAAAACCGAACCGAACCGAACCGAATACACCCCTAGAGCCTTTTGGTGAGCATTGAGTGAATTATTCTTTCACTTCAATCAAGCTCGAATTTTAGGCTTCAATCTAGCTTCTAATATTTTTTTGAGTTCAAGCCTTTTCGAGTTCAAGTTTCAATATTATATTTCGAGTTCGAGTTGAACTTGATAATTTTTAGCTCGTGAGTTTGAGTCGAGTTGAGCTTACTTTTAAAGTTTTCAAGTTCGAGTCGAGCTCAGCAATACCGAGTTCGACTTGGCTCGTTAACAAACGACGTGTTTGGTTTAATTTAAAAAATTGACGGTTTTTTTCATTAAACCGGCCGATCCGATCCGATTTTCAAAACACTGCTTTCCAATACCTCGGTTTTCAACATGCCATGAAATTATGTACGGATATTATTAATTCAATTTTTGTGGGTGTATTATTATCTAGTGAAAAATTAATTACAATATAGTGCATGAGATAATATATAATATATAAATGCATCAACATTTTTTCAAATATTTTAATTGCATTTAAATTTTAAAATATCTATCGGCATCAAATCTCCATTTGGATCCTCTAACATATATAATACTGGACGAGTATTAATTTAAGGGCAGGTGTATGCTGCTTTTGTAGGGAATAATTATAAATCAATTATTTTGAAAAAAAATTAAATTAAATTTAATGTATTAAAGGGAATGAAAAATATAAGAAAATCTGTATACCCATAATTTTAAATATATATATATATAATAATTTTGAATCTTATTTTTAAATTTTTAGATCCGTCATTGATTTTTCGATGAATGAAACAGATTCTGTTGGAGAATATTATTAAATTCGAGAATAAAATAATAATAAATAAATAAATATCATTATAAAAATTAATGATAAAGAATGAGCTTACTTGTCTTATGGAAATTTATCGTTGATGTGAACATCCCTTGTTATGGATTTGAGTTGATAGCCCTTTTTGAATTCATTACTACTATCAATGGCCGGTTGTTTTCATCTTGCTTGTGTTCTTAATGACTTATTTGCCTGATGGAGTGGTAAAGCGAATATGATAGTCACTACTCCCCTAGTCCATGGATTGCACAATGTAGAGAAGTTGATATGTGAATATGGTTATCTAAGACATTACAGAACGTACTGAAGATTGAAAGTAATGACTAAGAATACAAACTTAAGCTGAAAAGAATGTCTTTGGATTGTTCATCCTAAAAATAAAGGCCTTTAATCATTTAATTGATGTTTGTTCACAGAGAAGTTCATGAAGAAGCAAATCAAGCGAGGGAGAGGGTGTCCGAGCTTAAGTTGCAAAGCCGAGAGCAAGCAGCAGCTCGTCGCGAGAAACTCAGGCAGGCCTATCTTCGGAAACAACTGGAGAAGCTGAAATCTGTATCAAAAACAGAACACACTTGATTGGGTAGATACGGAAAGGTGATTTGTGCATTGCTTCTATTAGCAAGGATTGGGCTTTAAGCTATATGAGTAGGTTCCTTTGTCAAAGCACAAGCATGGCATAGGCAACCTCATTGGTTCTTTCAGCAATGAAAATGGAGAACACCCCCCCTAGTACCGGAGTTTGCAGCATTGGCGTAGGGAATAAATTTGAGTTCCCAACAGAGCGTTTTCTTTAGCCAATGAACATATTATAGGATGTTAACTCAGATTTTGATTAATTTTAGAATGTCAGCTGGTCACATTTGGTAGAAGTAGAAAGAATATATTGGGTTTTAGCTATGTTTTGTAACTGTAAATATTAGGCAATTGAACTATTTGCTGAAATCTATTTCATGGTATTAATGATTGATTTATATGGCAATGGCTCTTTGTTATGAAGTTGTTTATGTTGCGAAAACAGAAGCAGAACGTTGAAGGCAGTTTCAAAAAAATTTGATGCCTTCAACGTTGGGCTTGGTTCATGGAGTCTTGGATGGATCATAAAAACAAGGTTATACAAATATCGACTCCGCTGGGGATCGAACCCAGAATCTCTGGTTCCGTAGACCAGCGCCTTATCCATTGGGCCACGGAGTCTTACGTGAATGCAACTCAGATATTTATTTACTAATCTCTTTATCAACTTCAAGAAATGAAGATACAAAAGACGAACCCATCCTTTCACTGTTATGTCGTTTCTATGATGTAAGAGTCTAAGATCCATTATAAGATCCGGTCCATATGAGTAACAAACAATTCCGTAGTTCCCCCCCCCCCCAACATTTATAAATTACACTTAATAAATATTCTTTAAGAGGGTGGCCGATAACAAGATTTTGAGGGGACGACCATGAGAATACCTCCACCTGTCATCTGTCCGGTCCTCCATGAGGATAGTTTAGGAGTAGGAGTTTGATCGTTTATAGCATAGGTTAAGCTCTTTTTTCACCCAAAAAAAAAAGTGCATTGTGCTCCAAAAAGTTACAAATTATTTACGAAGAGAGGTGCTAAAGAAACCAACCACTGCCAATATATTATTTAATCATACATATTTTTTCTCCGCTTAATTTGTATTTTTAGGCCACTAGTATTAACCCACGATACTTGTATATAAAATGATGCCTTAAGATGCCCAGATAATTCTCTAACTTGTTCCCCATTTCCAACTTGTCTATAAACCGATTGACAATGATCAAGGGGGAATGAGAATTATTTATATATAAAATACTCACGTAAAGTTGAAGTTCCAATGAATAATTCAACCAAAACCCAATTATATAATTTGGTTAGAACGACTAATCAGTCCAGGATGGTATTCAGTTTACAAAGGAAATAATTAGATGACAACAGAGTACAGTGCCTTGGAATGATTTTGTTTGTGATTAAACCGCTGGCAAAATAGTTATATAATTACAGTGACGCAGCTTGGTCTATAAAAACCATTTGAAACCGGTTTCATTTCGGTTCAAACATATAGCTTCTCTCAGTTGGTGCTATTTGTTTAGCTGAGTTGGTCAGAAATGGAGGGCAGAAAAATGAGTATGATTTTGATTGCCTACATCACGCTTCTCGCTGTTTTTGCGAGCGGAGTGGCAGCCTTGAGGGAGGATCAAGGAGCGATTGCACCGTCACCAATGGAGAGTGGTGCAGTGGCTATGGGTGTTCCGGTTGTACTTGTTGCTGCCTTGGCTTCTATGCTCGCATTTGGCTGCTTTTTTTTTTTTTGAATTTCCTCTTTTTTGCTGCTGAATATTATTGTCCAAACTCTAAATCTTTGTTTCGTTCTGTATTGCTCAAGTTCATTCCAAGCAACAGTTGTGGGCGGTGGATGGATATTGAATAATTCATTCTTCGTTCTCAAGTTTTTTTTTTTGATAAATATTTCTTAAGTAATTAAATGTTAATAAAAATTTTAATTGAGTATTTTCCAAGGTTAACAACTTTTGTTTTATCATTACGTTACCAGATTTCCTGATATACTGCAATTCTGGAGAAAAAAATGTCTTCTTTATTTTGAAGAAATGATTAACTTTCTGCTTAACTTTCAACTTTGCACGAGCAGTTGACAGACAAATATTGGTTTCCAAGTTCTAGCTATGATTGGAAGGGTTCCACCAGTCTACATGTAACACCCTCAACCCGTATCCGACCCGGATACAAGTCTGAGGTGTCACATTGACTTTTCTAACTTTAAACTTTTAACGAAAACCAATGAAATTTAAAGCTTCTATTAAAATAACATTGTCATTGTACACGAGTTAACCAAAACAAGACAAAACTCCTCAGAGCATTTGTAACTACCACTTTTCTTACATGCCAACACACTACATACAACAAAATACCTACTGTGACTTTACTTCTGATCTGATCGCTGAGTAGAGATAGGTTGATCTGCAAATTCCTATTCTTGATTCTCCTGCTCTTCGAAACCTACGTGTAAAAACACTTACACGCTAAGTCATAGACTTAGTGAGGCATAATTACATAATAAAGAATTACTAAAATATAAACAAGTCGTCTACTATCCAAACACAATTATACTATCATACCATCACGTATTATACCACATATGAGCCAATATAAATCATAATAATACCATATTAAGATACAATTATATACATCCTCGTTATGTCTTATTTAAGCCCATATATACTATTGAGAACCCAAGGGATACGAGTATTATGAGGTTGTGCACACGTATTCTGTCACCACAGCTCAATGAATGTTCCGAAGGACCTATCCAGAGGTCATAAAGATCCTCGGTAACTATCCAGAGGTCATAAAGATCCTCGGTAACTATCCAGAGGTCATAAAGATCCTCGGTAACTATCCAGAGGTCATAAAGATCCTCAGTAACTATCCAGAGGTCATAAAGATCCTCGGTAACTATCCAGAGGTCATAAAGATCCTCGGTAACTGTCTATAGGTCCCGAAGAACCTAGGTAAACTATCCATATGTTCCTTAGAACATAGGTATACTGTCCATATGTCTCGAAAGACATAGGTAGTTCTTTGACTCTTAACATACCAACTATACTTACAGTTCTCATAACTCATATCATGGCATTGTCTTTTACCTTATTACGTATTCATACATCATATCACATTTTCTTTTTCTATAGCTCTTTATCACATGTTCATATGATCATCTTATTACCTATACCTTTTTATATAACCATTACATACATACATACATACATGTCATCATTTATGTTTTTATCATAATCCTATAGTATTATCCTTCATCTCTTTTATCTCTTGTTCATTTTTCATCCAATAACTTATATAAATGTATATATATCACGTATACTAGTTCCTAGGTCCCATCACACTAGCATATTTTCATATTCTTTCTTATGTCCTTTTCATACTTCTTATTTCATATTCTTATGAAATCATATTGATCATTTTAACTATTTCACATATTTAACACATTTATCTACATATTTACACAACTCATATAATATATATATACTGTAACATGTCAATACATATGCTCATTCATACATATAAACCATAACAAACACAGCACACACACTTCATATACCTAATATAGATATCTCGTAACTCATTCATATATAAGCTCTAATCTGAAAAATAGATTTACCACAATCTGCATAGTATATCCCATAATGTATATGGTATGAATTCATATCATATTTAATAATATTGAATGAATCATGTATCAAGATATTAAATCTAGACTTATCGCAAGTCTAAAACTGAATATACTAACATAATCATGTATGCAATGCACTCACCTTAGCCTTGTTTGAATTGAATCAATTCTAACCCTTCGATTACTTTGAAGCAAAGTCACGTTCAATATCTACATAAGCATAATTTTCAAGATGATTATCAGATGCCTAAGTCTTGAAAAACCTCTAATAGCCTACCAATTTAAGGGATTAATAGTTTAGTCTCTCTTTCTTTCTTCTTCTTCTTTTTTTCATTATGGGGGAATCGGTTCCCCCTGGGGGTATCGATTCCCCTCTAGCATTCTGGAAATTCATATTCGTTTGAGGGGGAATCGATTCCCTTTGAATGAGTACCGATTCCCCTAGCCCAAAAATCCCATTTTGAGCTCGAAAATCACCTTATTTCAGCTTAAACCTTCCTATTTCACTTCCTTTAATACTCCTAACTTTAATACACATACTTAAACTTATTTCTATTCCCTAATCACTTCTTTAACTTCAAATCTAGTCATTCCTATGTAATTGCAAAAATTATACTAGTTTTGCAACATGTTCAAATTCTTAATCTAACACTTCCTATCCCTTAATTAACTTGATGACAAGTCAAATTCAACTTCCAATTCTCAATAAACTTTATTTCGATATTTCAAAACTTCAAATCTTTAAATCCTCATAAACTCTTAATTTTGTGTTTTTAAAGCAAATTAATCTTTCCTTAATCTTACTTAACATCTAATAATCAAAACTAAACTTAAATTTCAGCACATAATCAGCTCAAGAGAACTCACCTTTGCTTGGCTTCACACGTGAAGAAGAAGAAGAAAAAGAAGGGAACTCTGGAAACCTCTAAACTTTGTTTCCTTCCTTCCACGTGTATCTATATATACCATATATTATTATTATATTTTTCTTTTCTTTACAAATGACCATAATATCCTTTCATTCCTCATTCTTTTCAATTTGATCTTACACCTCATTTCTCATATAAGTCTTTAAACCACTCAATTATTCTAATTTAAATCACCAAATTTTGAAACCTTACAATTTAGTCACTAACCCGGTATTGAGGATGTTACAAATCTCTCCTCCTTTTAAGAAATTCGTCCTCGAATTTCCATTACACATATCGATAAGAACATATCTTTCAATGTTCTCATGCTCTTTTCTCTACTTTATCCCATTGCAATTTGTAATGAATGATTTACTTTCACTTCCCAAAGAACCCAATCCATTTCTAATTACCTTATAACCATACCCAATCTTATTCCATCATTCTATAACTCAGAACATAACCCTAAACCTCTTCAAATGTTATTAAACGTATACTTTACGAAATCAATCATCTTTTCATAACATTATCTACCATTTCCTTACCCCCTATCAACTTATAATTCACACTTTACACCCCTTTTTCATTTAATTCCCTATATATACTCCTTTATAAATCACTATCTCCTTACTTATCCCTTGAGAAATATCTCCATTAGATTAACAGAGAATTAAATTCCCTGAATTCGAATGTAACACTTCTAACATATCTTGTTTACTTTAGCACTGTACCTTAATGGAATTGTCACTACACTATTTCTAAAAAAAAATGACTTCTAACTAAATTCTCAATTCTCTTACCCATTCTCTCTCTATATGGTTATACAAGCTCATATCAACTAATCTATAAAGCATTTACTGTACAATAGAAGATACCTGCTATTATCTCTGGCTCATTGTCTTCACTGATATTGAGATTATATACTCTAGCCGTAGAGCGCATTTCCTGTTGAGTAGAAAATTCTGTCTGACTTCTTCCTCTACCTCTACCCCGTCCTCTCTAGGATATCGAAGCAGATCGCTCCAACTGCATAGGCTTTCCTGTCCCCAATGGACAATCTCTCATGAAATGTCTTATTTCCCCACATCGAAAACAGGCTCCAGATTCAACTCTACATGCCCCACCATGATATCTCTCACAAATCTGACAGTGTCTCTTCCATCACCAGACTTTCCTAATTGAGTCTGTCTAGCTCTCATCTGATTTGATCCTCTAGCAGAGGATACCACTGATTCAGACCTTACTTGGTATTGGAACCCAGAATCTCTATCTCTCTTGGGTAGTACAGAGCTCGACGAAGCCCTCGTTCTTTTGGAAGATTGAGCTTTCTGATCCCGTAGTACTTCAACAAACCACTCACATGCTTCTTTCTCTATCCGAATCAATTCGGCCGCGAATCGACTTAACTTGTTGAATTCACACTCATATTCATACACAATGCGATTCAGCTGTTTCAAATTCAAGAATTCTTGCTTTATTTCCTTAATGATCTGATCTCCTATATACTTGTGCTTAAACTCTTCTAAAAACAAATACCATGTTTTCTGATCATTTGGCATCCTATGAATAACATTCGTCCACCAGATTCTCGCTTGCCCACAGAGCAAAGAGACCATCCCATCTAGTTTCTACATATCAGAGCAGTGGAGTCCCTCTAACATGATCTTTACATCATTAAGCCAAAGGTCCGCAACAACAGGACCTTCTTCGGCTTCACCTTTGAACTCTGGAGCTCCTAATCCCTTTAACTCTTTGGCTATATTAATCCTCTGCGTTGAGGATGCAGGAGTTTGGAAACGTGTCAAAATAGTGCCCAACGTCTTGAAGAATACATTTTGATCTTGTACAGGCACTCCAAAGGGTGCCTGTCCTTCACCTTGCCTGGCCAGGGCAGGTGAATTACTACTTTCAGCTAATATATCATCTCTCGCTTCACCCCGAGAGCTATCTTGTCCTGACATCTAATAAGAGATAACCAAATATTTCTATCAGCTAAACAACATACTCATTACTCATATCAGATCAGAAGTTCTTACTACTATGTTGGCATGAACACTTTTTAAGACACTCTAGACTCCGGTTCATGCCGAGAATCGACTAAACCATAGCTCTGATACCATTAAATGTAACACCCTCAACCCGTATCCGACCCGGATACAAGTCTGAGGTGTCACATTGACTTTTCTAACTTTAAACTTTTAACGAAAACCAATGAAATTTAAAGCTTCTATTAAAATAACATTGTCATTGTACACGAGTTAACCAAAACAAGACAAAACTCATCAGAGCATTTGTAACTACCACTTTTCTTACATGCCAACACACTACATATAACAAAATACCTACTGTGACTTTACTTCTGATCTGATCGCTGAGTAGAGATAGGTTGATCTACAAATTCCTATTCTAGATTCTCCTGCTCTTCGAAACCTACGTGTAAAAACACTTACACGCTAAGTCATAGACTTAGTGAGGCATAATTACATAATAAAGAATTACTAAAATATAAACAGGTCGTCTACTATCCAAACACAATTATACTATCATACCATCATGTATTATACCATATATGAGCCAATATACAGCTCAATGAGTTCCGAATGACCTATCCAGAGGTCATAAAGATCCTCGGTAACTATCCAGAGGTCATAAAGATCCTCGGTAACTATCCAGAGGTCATAAAGATCCTCGGTAACTATCCAGAGGTCATAAAGATCCTCGGTAACTATCCAGAGGTCCCGAAGAACCTAGGTAAACTATCCATATGTTCCTTAGAACATAAGTATACTGTCCATATGTCTCGAAAGACATGGGTAGTTCTTTGACTCTTGGCATACCAACTATACTTACAGTTCTCATAACTCATATCATGGCATTGTCTTTTACCTTATTACGTATTCATACATCATATCACATTTTCTTTTTCTATAGCTCTTTATCACATGTTCATATGATCATCTTATTACCTATACCTTTTTATATAACCATTACATACATACATACATACATGTCATCATTTATGTTTTTATCATAATCCTATAGTATTATCCTTCATCTCTTTTATCTCTTGTTCATTTTTCATCCAATAACTTATATAAATGTATATATATCACGTATACTAGTTCCTAGGTCCCATCACACTAGCATATTTTCATATTTTTCTTATGTCCTTTTCATACTTCTTATTTCATATTCTTATGAAATCATATTGATCATTTTAACTATTTCACATATTTAACACATTTATCTGCATATTACACACTCATATATATATATATACTGCAACATGTCAATACATATGCTCATTCATACATATAAACCATAACAAACACAGCACACACACTTCATATACCTAATATAGATATCTCGTAACTCATTCATATATAAGCTCTAATCTGAAAAATAGACTTACCACAATCTGCATAGTATATCCCATAATGTATATGGTATGAATTCATATCATATTCAATAAAATGAATCATGTATCAAGATATTAAATCTAGACTTATCGCAAGTCTAAAACTGAATATACTAACATCATGTTATGCACATGCACTCACCTTAGCCTTGTTTGAATTGAATCAATTCTAACCCTTCGATTACTTTGAAGCAAAGTCACGTTCAATATCTACATAAGCATAATTTTCAAGATGATTATCAGATGCCTAAGTCTTGAAATTAACCTCTAATAGCCTACCAATTTAAGGGATTAATAGTTTAGTCTCTCTTCTTTCTTCTTCTTCTTTTTTTCATTATGGGGGAATCGGTTCCCCCTGGGGGTATCGATTCCCCTCTAGCATTCTGGAAATTCATATTCGTTTGAGGGGGAATCGATTCCCTTTGAATGGGTATCGATTCCCCTAGCCCAGAAATCCCATTTTGAGCTCGAAAATCACCTTATTTCAGCTTAAACCTTCCTATTTCACTTCCTTTAATACTCCTAACTTTAATACACATACTTAAACTTATTTCTATTCCCTAATCACTTCTTTAACTTCAAATCTAGTCATTTCTATGTAATTGCAAAAATTATACTAGTTTTGCAACATGTTCAAATTCCTATTCTAACACTTCCTATCCCTTAATTAACTTGATGACAAGTCAAATTCAACTTCCAATTCTCAATATAAACTTTATTTCGATATTTCATTCAAAAACTTCAAATCTTTAAATCCTCATAAACTCTTAATTTTGTTGTTTTAAAGCAAATTAATCTTTCCTTAATCTTACTTAGCATCTAATAATCAAAACTAAACTTAAATATCAGCACATAATCAGCTCAAGAGAAAACTCACCTTTGTTTGGCTTCACACGTGCAGAAGAAGAAGAAAAAGAAGGGAACTCTGGAAACCTCTAAACTTTGTTTCCTTCCTTCCACGTGTATCTATATATATACCATATATTATTATTATATTTTTCTTTTCTTTACAAATGACCATACTATCCTTTCATTCCTCATTCTTTTCAATTTGATCTTACACCTCATTTCTCATATAAGTCTTTAAACCACTCAATTATTCTAATTTAAATCACCAAATTTTGAAACCTTACAATTTAATCACTAACCCGGTATTGAGGATGTTGCACTACAAATACCAATCGCATATTAGAATTACCAGTTGAGGTAAGAATATCAAGGTATTAGGAAAAATTGATAAACCGCACGTTAACGGTTTTCTCTGGGTGCACGTTAGCAGGGCTAACGCGATCTGAGTTTTCATGTGCGATCTTGACGGTTTCCGAAGATTTTTCGATCGGTTTTTCTGCTCTGATTCTTTCTTGACTTCTTTCAAGATGAATGGTGGCTTTATGGATTGGAGGAAGTTATTTGGGAGCACTGTTGAACAGACTCTGGAATATTTTCCCCCATTGGCTTGAGAAGGGTCTCCGGTTCCTTCGGTCCAGCCGCCCTCAGAGGTTCTCGAGGCAGGCATCTCTGAGGGGAAGCTGTCTCTGGTGGGGAAATTTCTTGGACCAGTTCCGTCATTTGCCTCCTTGAAGCGTATTGTGGACATGTTGTGGAAGACGGTTCTGCTAGGCTCGGGTGTACAGGTCAGTTTTGCTGGTAACAATTTATTCTTCTTCTCTTTTAGTTCTGAATCTGCCTGTGACTGGGTTTTAGAAAACGGGGCCGTGGCATATTCAGAATAAGCCTCGAATTTTGAGAAAATGGGAACCGAGCATGAAGCGTTTAGATTTTGACCTATCTCGTATTCATGTTTGGTTCCAACTCTATAATGTGCCATTGGAGCTTTACTCAAGAACGGGGTCTACATTGCCAGTGCGTTGGGTGTGTCTTTGTCTATGGATTCAATGACTGCATCCAGGACAAGGTTGGAGTATTCAAAGGTTTGCATTGAAATTGGGGTGAAAGATTCGATTCATAAGTTTGTTGATGTTGTACTGAAAGATGGTGTTGTTGTTTTGATTCGAGTTGTAGTCCCTTGGATGTCGCCTTGTTGTTTGAGATGTAATGCCTTTAGCATAATGAGAAAATATGTCCAGAGGTGCTTAAGCCTCAACCTGCTGTGGTACAGGTTTGGAGGAAGAAGGGGGTAGATAGATGCTCTGAGGCTGCTGCAGTTGGTGGAATTGAGGTACTTCAGGAACCTAATCAGCCTGCTGGAGAAGTTTCAGGAAGTTGGGTGAGCTCTCAAGTTGAAGAGTTGGTTGAGGGCTTGATGGAAGAAGCTAAGACTATTAGTGAGGCTCCAGTGGAAGGGATTGCTGCTTTGCCTGCTGCGGTGGACCTTCCTTCACTGCAAGTCTCTTCCCAGAAAAAGAAGCCTAAAAGGAAAGGTAAAGATAAAAAACAGTTAACTGGATCTTCTAATCGGTTTTAGGTGTTGGTTGCAGTTGCTGGTTTAGAAGGTGCCAGGAAGCCTCGTGTGGCTTCTATGGGTGTTGTTGCCCTCTTAAATGAAATGAAAACAAAAAAGAAGGACTTCATTGATAAGTCTGAGGGGACTGCTATAGGAATGGTTAGAGGAGAGGCTAATCCTGCCCAATGATAGCTTGCTTCTGGAATGTCAGAGGGTTTAATAACCCCCTGAAGCAAATGCAAGTGTTTTCGCGGTTGGGAAAGTTTAATGTGGACATTATTTGCCTTATGGAGACTCGAGTGAGGATTGTTAATGCTAGTAGATTGATTGACTATTATTCCTTGGATTGGGATTACTATACCAACCATGAATATTTTAACAATGGCATATTGTGGATTTTCTGTAAAAAGGGATTTAATTTTATTGTTTTGAAAGTTTTTGACCAATCTCTATCTATAGTTGGTGAGATTGGTGGTCATAGCTGTGTAATAACAATTGTCTATGGAAATAACAATGGAGCTGACAGGCTACACCTTTGGAGACAGTTGGATGAAGTGGGCAGCATGGTGGGGGGATCATCTTGGCTTGTGGGAGGTGATTTTAACATCTTTACTAAAGCTGAGGAAAGCTCTGATTTTGAGAGGCTTGGATCCTATGACAATGCTGACATGGAGTGTTTCAGGAGCTGTTTTTCCTCCTTGGTGCTTTTTGATCATCCCTTTGTGGGGCCCCTATTCACTTGGTCTAATAAACAACAAGGGAACTTTCTGGCTCGTAAGTTGGATAGGGTCCTAATTAACACTCGTTGGCTTGAGGACTTCCCAAATTCCTTTGTTGAATTCAAGGCCCAAGGAGTGTCAGACCACTGCCCTGCTTTGATTTCTTTTTATAAGGATAATCAGGCTGATAGACCTAAGCCATTTAAGTTTTTTAACTGTTGGGCTAATCATAGGGACTTCAAGAATATTGTTAGTGAATCCTGAAAGCTTGAAGTGATTGGCTCTCCCATGTTCTGCCTGTTTGCTAAGCTCAAAAGACTTAAAATTGAGACTCAAAGAGTTCAATAAGTGCTACTTTGATGATATATCCAGAAGGGTTAGGGTTAAGAGAGATCAGCTTGAGCAAATACAACTTGCAAATCTTGCACAAGCCAGCTTTTATAGTGATGAGGAAAAGGCAGTTCAGCTCGAGCTCCATGAACTTGAGGTGGTTGAAGCTTCTTTCTACAAACAGAAGGCCAAGGTGCACTGGTTGAAGGAAGGCGATAGAAATACCAAGTTTTTTCACTCTACTGTGATAAGGAAAAAGAAGAAAAACACTATCGGAATGCTCTATGCTGAGGATGGTTCTCGGTTGAACACTTTTGAGGCCATGTCTTCTGAGATGGTGAGATTTTACACTCAGCTGCTTGGTACTGAAGATGTTGAGGTTCACGGCTGTGATGTGAACCTTCTCAAGAGCTTACTGGATTATGATCTGCCTTGTGGTGCTGCTGCCCTCCTTGTTAGAGAGGTTTCTAATGATGAAATTAAAGCTTCCCTATTTAGGCAAGGGAATGAGAAGAGCCTAGGGGCATGATGGGTTTACTGCATACTTTTTCAAGGTAGCTTGGGATATTGTACAAGAGGATTTCCTAGCAGTCATTAGAGATTTTTTCCAGAATGGATCTCTGTTTCCTGCCTTCAATGCCACAACTATTACTTTGGTTCCTAAGACCCCCAATGCAGGTATGGCTAGGGATTCTCGCCCTATTTCTTGTTGTTCGGTTATTTACAAAACTATCATTGGTATAATTGTAAATAGATTAGCCTGCTTATTCCCTGACATGATTTTGCCAAATCAGTCTACATTCATCAAAGGGCGTAGTATTGTTGATAACACGCTTTTAGCTCAGGAATTTGTTAGGGGTTACTCGCACAATTCTCTTTCCCCTAGGTGTGCCCTTAAAATAGACCTAAGGAAAGCCTTTGACTCTGTTAATTGGGTTTTTTTGATGAATGTCCTTGCTGTCTTGGGGCTTCCTGAGGTGTTTAGAGGCTGGATTTCTACTTATATTACTGGTGCTATGTATTCTGTGGCTTTTAATGGGAGTTTAGTGGGCTATTTTAAAGGTAAGAGGGGAATTAGACAGGGTGACCCACTGTCCCCTTACCTTTTTGTTCTCATTATGAATGTGTTGTCCTATTTGCTAAATGTTGCTGTTAGGGATGAACTTTTTAGATTTCACCCCAAATGCAAACATGTTCTTTTTACTCATCTTAGTTTTGCTGATGTCTTGCTCATTTTCTGCCATGGTACTGAGGATTCAATTTTGGGTGTTGTTGGGGTCCTTGAGGTCTTTTATAAGATGTCTGGCTTGCAACTTAATGTTGGTAAGTCTGAATTGTTTGCTTATGGTATGCATGAAGGTATCTTGAACAGAGTGCAAGCTGTCATTGGGTTTAAGTTGGGCAGGTTCCCTGTTAGGTACCTTGGTGTG